ATCAAAAGCTATTACCTGTAATTTACTAACAAACCAAAATAAAAAGTTAATTATTACTTCGTATGTACTGTAGTAATAATAGATTAAAAGTCCGTTTAGGTAACATTCAAATTGGATTGGATCGGCCGATTTTGTTGAAATTTATGAAGTTCAGGTTAAAATGGATCGATTGCCTAATTCTACAAAATTATGAAAAAATTGAATTTAAAATATATTTTATTTATAAAATAAAGAAGAGAATATATAAAAATAGCTAAAATGATCCTCTGCGATAACTTCAGTCAATTCAACACAACAAATTACTTCAATCTTACTTGTTTTGATTATTAAACAACTTTGAGCACAATAATATAAGTTTTGTAGATTACAAAAAATTATGAGATTGTCACAGATTTGGCACGGATGTACCGATGATTTCGTGCCAAATAGCTCGTGACAAACTATTTTTGGCACGGATTTGATATATCCTTACCAAAATCCCTGTAAAAAATCCTTGCAAATGTCATGTGTTTGTTTTGTAGTGTGTATTTGATAAAAGTTTTGGACAAGTAATTTACGAACTTTAACTTTTGGAGAACTTATCTTATTTTATTAGTTTAAATATTTTCAGCTCCATTACTACAAATTTTGTAAATTAAAATGAAACGTGACAAATCTGAGTCATCTGACCATAGACATGCGTTTTGCATAAACATATAATTGCCCAATGTGATACAAGTAGACACTTTTAAAGACCATTTGTTCTACGGAGTATTAATTCTTCATGCATTTGTAATGCTTTAGCTCGCCTGATGACACCCTTTGGATCTATCTATATATACTCCGTATAAGAAAGCAAATAGTTCATTCAAAGTCCATTTTATCCTTAATAAAGCTTATGTGTCTATCTACCCATGTTTTACTCCTTTGCTAAATGACTACCGTGTGGCTTCTTCTTCTTTTTCCAAATGGACGTACGAATTGAAATTCATACTACGTAATTAATAAAAACCTAGAGTAACCGCCTCAACTCTCTCTATATGCATTCCCTTTTTTTCTTATAACTAGCTAGTATTCTATCCGTGCGATGCACGTGACATATGTTTTCGAGTTAAGTCAAGTGACTACCTATTTAACAATCAATTACAGCTCAAGCATCCACGTCTAAGGGCGTTTTTTACATACAATCTCATATGCATCATGCCGGGGTTTTACACTCATAACAGTATACCATATTGCTAAAGAAAAATCTACCAGGCAAATAACATATATTTGGTCTTTATTTGGATTTAAAGTTTACTATCGACTTTCAAAAGTAATATATTCTCGGGGGGAAACTCTATTATTGTAATTGTTTATACCTTGATATATGTTTTTTTAATACTACCATTCCTAACATTTGCTAGTTCCCATTTCCAAGATATCTTATTTGATAATTGGTTATGTTTGTGATTGAAGTTGTTATTACCACTTGATAATGTTTCAACCGTTTGGTTATTCGGTAGTACAATAACAACATCCAACCCTTAGTCCCAAAAAGATTTCAACATCATTTTTTTCAAATAGGACTTGCGACTTTTTTTTTAATGAAAATGAATATTTTGGGCTTAGGACTTGAGCATAGTATTCCAATGTTTTTAAACTCTAACAAAACCTTGGTCATGTTCAATTAGGTATTTGTTATAAATCTTAATTTACACACAATGGCTCTCAATTTTCTTTATCAAATTGTTCTCAATCTAAAATTAACAGAAAAGATTTATATCACCTCTCTTCTCACTGCCATATACTTTCTCTTCACTTCTGTATTTTCCCCTCTAGAGGTAAAGTGTGTTGCGTTGTATATAATAATAAGGGTATTCCACAATCCTTCTCACCATATGCTGGTGGCTGTAGAGATGGCCGACGAAGCTCCGTAGGCGACAGCCGGCGGTGGCAGGTCGAAGGGGTGGTGGGAGGAGCATTTTTGTCCAATCACAAAAACTCTTATTTTGGCAATTTTAAAACTACTATTCCTACTTGTGATTTTTGACCTTTTTAGTCTTATTTAAGTAATTAACTCAATGTTAATAGTGTAGTGATATCTTATGTCAAAGGATACCTCACATGTTTAAAGTAAAACAAAACAAAATGATACTTAATAATTAGAACTAAATTACGTACATTAAGTTTGTATGTTTTTTAGCACATACTTTGAGCAAATCAACAAACTAAGATTACTTTGAGCAAATAATTAACTCAATGTTAATAGTGTAGTGATATCTTATGCCATGGGATACTACTTCATACTTCGTATGTTCAAAGTAAAACAAAACACAATGATAATCAATAATTAGAACTAATTAAATTACGTACTTTTCCAGGTTGGGCTGACATGTTTCGCTTGATGTGCTAACATAGATGTGTTACTATGTCAGCCTGCACTCCTATTAGAAGAAATTCCACTTATGGTCCTTCGAGTTTTGTACCAATTCCACAATTAGTCCTCGTCTTTCACTTTATCCATTTTTGGTACCTGACTATTGTTTTCTTAACCATATATAGTCCTTTTGCGGTAGTAAAAATGCCCAGAGATGGATCGAAAATGGTCAAAAAAACAATAGTCAGGTACCAAAAATGGATAAAGAGAAAGACGAAGCCTAAATATGGAAATGACACAAAACTCGGAGGACCTAAAGTGGAATTATTTCCTCCTATTAAGATCAAGGAGTTTTGCTTGACAGTGTATAAATAATTAACTCAATGTTAAGATATAGAGCTTGTTGAGAGTATAAATAATACATGCATGGATTCCCTCCCAGCAGTGTATCCAATGTCTCCCTAATCTTTATTTACTTGCTAAAAAGGGGAAGGAGGGACACCCCATCTAAGATATACACAATGCAATCACCTATAGCTAACCCATGAAGTATCCTTCTTTAAGTGGATATTCCAAAGTGTTTTAGAGTGTAGCGCAGAGTTCCATATTTTATAGTCTTTAAAGCCCAATTCTCCCTCCTCTTTAGGTCTACAGACATCTGCCCAAGCCACCTTCTCAATGATTGCCAAGAAATGGGGAAAACTTGGATCCAATAGGATTTGATTCCTTGTATAACTACTCGAATGAGTTCCTTGTATTGGGCTACACCCTGCTAGGGGGCAAAGGTACTCCCAGCTATCTCACTGGAAACTGTCCAGTCGGGATGTCCACCACATTCAGAATAAGCACCCACTCCTGCCCATTAACCCAGCTAAGAAAATATTTGATATAGCTATATTAATTAATTGATAACCCAAATACCTCTTGAAAATCGGCAATACACTTTAAAAGCACTTGATTAGAAGTCAGGTCCCGAATAGAGCATTAGATCACTGCAAATATTAGATTACATATTTTCAGTTGAGTAAACTGCTAACTTAAGTACTCATATTCACTTAATTTTAAAACTACTTCCACTGTGTCACCAACTCACCATCTTTTGTTGGTGCTATTTGAATTTTCACTTTGTGATACTTTTGATGAATCACCATCGAAGGACCTTTTATATTTTTGGCTTAGATACGTAACACATTCTTAGTCCTTACAAATATGACACACTTTGCTTTAGGTCTTTACGAAATATTTTATTTTCTTTTCATCTTGTAGTATGCACTATTTTGTTTTTAGTTCATCTCTGATTCTGAAATCACTTTATTTACAAAAAAGATATTACGAGTTGCATAATTCTACTAAAATAATTTAAATTTATCCTTTTATAATTTTTAGGCTAACATGAGAGTTAAAATAATGTAAAATTAAGAATTCATGATTTAAAAATATATACTAAAAACCTTATAAAAATAAAATAAATACTTTTTTCGATAACATGACAAAGAATTTGAGGGAATCTATTAATCAGGATAATTTTGAAGTCAAACAGATGCTGTTATTATCGGTGATGGGTTAAAAAGAAAACTAGCAAAAATTGGAGGAACCAAAAACAAAAATTAAAACATACTCCGTATATTTTTGTATAAACATATATAAAACAAAATGTATTTAAACATATATTTTTGTATGTCACTTTCTTTGAGTGTTCTTTGAGGGATAAATGTAGCCAGAGATAGGGCTGGGACTTTGGAACCAAGAACCGGAGAACCGAACCGGATCGAACCGTTATGACCTGGTTCGGTTCGGTTCCAACATTTATAAGTTATTTGTTAACGGTTCGGTTCCTATTTTTTATTAACGGTTCGGTTCTCGGTTCCTGAAAAAAAATGTACCAGGAACCGTTATATATAATAATTAGAATTGTATATATATTTCTTATGAGTATATATATTTTAATGTATTTTTACTTATTTATTTTTATATTACATTCATTATTTTAGTTTAGCTATTTAACTATTTAAAATTATTACTCACTTCAACCGGTTCTCTTACAATTACGGAAGGTCCAAACTATTTAAAATTATTATTCTCTTTAACTAGTTCAACATATTTATATTGTAATTTCAAACGTTGAATGCCGTTTTGACAATAATTTAGTCGTGATTTGTAAGAATTTTTTTAAAGACTAGGAACCGTTAAATGACAAGAACCGAACCGTTAAGAACGGTTCGATTGCTTGTCGGTTCTATAAAAAACTTCATAAGAACCGAATCGTTAATAAAATTTCATATTTTGAAACGATTACACGTATTCTGCCTGGGAACCGAACCTGTGCAGGCCTAGCCAGAGATGTTGCCGGCGGAATACGATGAATTTATATTCTCTTCTTCACCATCAAAATATCATGATTTATTGTTGTCGGCGAAAAAGGAATACGAAGGTCATCAAGTTGCAAATCTTCTTGTGAGCTAGTTCATGGAGCATACTTGAGATTTGATTGAGAACAAAAAAAATTGATCTATTATATTCTAGCTCAATCTCAACCCCTCGTCCCCTCGTTTATATTCTTCATTTTTTTGGGTGGTGTGGAGTTGAACGCCAAGTGTAGACGTCTAGCCGTGACCGCACAAGAAATCGTCTCATTTCCATGGCGAAGGCTGGTGAGAGCAGTAAGAATTCAAGATGGTCTCTTTCCGGGATGACTGCCCTTGTCACTGGAGGCACTCGCGGAATCGGGTACCCATCAACCCTAACCCCTAACTAATTGAATCCATTATCCATTTCGAATCATTAACATTTATGGCCAATTTCAGAACGTAGGTTTCATATGCTCGTTAACATTTTCATTTTATCTGCTGATAGGCGCGCAATAGTTGAAGAACTCGCGGAATTGGGCGCTAGTGTATACACCTGTTCCAGAACGGAAGAAGAGCTGAACCAGAGCTTGCAGCATTGGGCTTCTAAAGGCCTCAAAGTATCTGGTTCCGTCTGCAATGCATCGTCCAAAGATCAGAGGTTGCTCCTCTTGCAGAATGTTTCGTCTGCCTTCAACGGAAAGCTCAATATTCTGGTGAGTATTCAACAGTATTGTTCTCAATGCGATGGTTAATGTGAGAAAAGCAAAATGGAAAATTCAAGGAGTATTGAGTATTGAATCTGCTGGATAATAGAAAAGATCAGAATAAAGTGTTGTTTGGCTGAAGGTATTATAAAATAATGACGATTGGTTCTTAAACCTTCTAAAGAATTGAGAATCACCCTCCAGATTTCGCCAACACTCTAAAGAAAGCCTTTCTATGATTTCATTTCTTTCTCATATTTTTGTCTACGTGTGTTTATAATTATACTGAAATTTTATGGCGTGGTCTCTGTAAGTCCGGTTTGGTTTGATTAGAACTAATTTGGTCTGGTCTTGTAGATGCTTGTTCTGTGTGTAGTTTACAACTGTCGAAGCATGGTCTATTTAAGTCTGGTCAAGTCTAGTCTAATCTGAAACTAATCCAATTAAAAACATGCTTATGCTAATTCTTGTGATAGAGCTCCTGTCTATGGGTGTTCTTTCTTTCTAGGCTGAGACATAGTTGTGAGTATAGCACGATATTATGGGATCTTGTTCCAAAATTAAAAGGGACTTAGAGTGACGTATGTAGCTTATAATAGTTTGGATATCTGGTAAGAATTTTGTTATCAAATATTTTTATCACGATTCAGAACATGATCAAATGATTCATGATTCAAATCATACTTCGACAACTATGGTCTTAAATTTGATGTTTTGTTCTCACCAGGGAAATCCCTGCCTTTCCCGTGAATATAATGGAAATTGAGCATGTCTTTCCCTTTGAGCTTTTCTATATATGTATATATAAATTGACATCAATGAGTCAAGTAGTCAACTTCCTCACCTTCATTAGCACACGAAAACCATCGCACAAACATTTATTTCTAATGCTCAAAGACAGAATGAGCATGACACCAATGAGACATGGTAGTATATGATCCGGTTTGAGGTTTACAATGTAGATGACAGAGTTAATTCTTCCCTCATCATCATCATCATCACCCCAGTGCAGCAAAGGCTTCCACCTACGATGGGGTAAAGGGGGGTCAGATGTAAAAACAAAAAGACTATTTCCGGTTGACCCACATCAAAAATTGCAAACAGTTTAGAGTTAATTCTTCCCTGATAATACATATATGTTTTGATATATAAAATCAATATACTCCAAAACTATGCTAAAGTTCTATTGAATCGTGAAAACCAAATTCAAAAATGACCATAACTTATTACTCCCTCCGTCCCAAAATGGTTGGCCAAATTTCCTTTTTTGGCCGTCCCAAAAAGGTTGGCCATTTCCATTTAAAGTAAGGAATATGTGGCTAAAGTTAATTCTCTCTCCTCTGCACAAATTTTAACCACACAGTTTTTACTTTATTAATCCACGTGCAAGTCAACATTGGCCAACGATTTTGGGACGGAGGGAGTATATAATATCAGAGTTGAAAACATAAAAGAGAATTCAGTTGACTGCGTGAATAGTTTATGGGAACTTTAAAGTTTAAACTGAGACAGAGGGAGTACCGGAGTAATAAGCATCAAAACTACTTTTGTTATTGTCAAAAACTAATTTGTTTTTCTTAAACTATAATCGCCTCTTTTTTAAAAGTAAGTCATATCAAACATTGTCTGTCTCATTGGGCTTCTGCATTGCTTTTTTGTTATTCTTGCTACAGATTAACAATGTCGGTACAAATATCCGGAAGCCGACAGCTGAGTATACTTCAGAAGACTATTCTCATATCATGGCTACAAACTTGGAATCCTCTTACCATCTGACTCAACTTGCTTACCCTCTCTTGAAAGCATCTGCTGTTGGATCCATTGTCTTTATTTCCTCTGTTGCTGGCTTGGAACACATATCTTCTGGATCAATTTATGGAGCCTCCAAAGGCAAGTTATTTTAATTTACTGCTCCTAAAGTTTCTTGTACTTGATAAAAAGTAATGCTGGACCAAATCAATACGCAACTCTATTGGCCTGTATCTGCAGGAGCTATAAATCAACTAACAAAGAATTTGGCTTGTGAGTGGGCAAAAGACAACATCAGGGTCAATGCTGTGGCCCCTTGGTATATCAAGACCTCACTTGTGGATCATGTAATATATTTTTCTTTCTCCGTCCATTACCCTTTCTATTCCTCTCTTGACACTTCATAAGAATATTGGCCTTGTACATTTTAGTGCCTCCCTCCAAAAAACAGTGTTGATTCTACTATTTTGTGTTACCAACATGGTGTTTTCCTGACCAGTAAATCTATAGTTGTTGCAATTCAAACTTTTCTCATTAACAATATACTCCATATCAGACGGGATAGTCATCAACTCCAAGCAGTTTTAATAAAAAGTTGTTTTTGCCCCCGAGTAAAAAAGTAAACCTCTAGATTGTAGTACCTAACTGCCTCTTCTTTTTGGCTAACTTACAACTGCATGAAATGATGAAAACATATGAATATTGAATCTGGAAGGTTCCTAACTTTAGATTAGTCTGTGTGGTTGAATATATGATCAGTTTTCTAAGGTTCTCTAATTTGTTACATAGTGAATATTAGACAATGTCACAAATGAAGAGGTTATTGGCGCCCTAAGTAATCCTAATTTATGAGGGGTAGTCGTTAAATGTAGTACTCCTTCAGTCCATAAAGATATTCTTTTTGTAGAATATTCGTTAAATTGACTTGCATGATTAATAACAGATGACTTTGTTCATTAAATGAATTGAAAATTTTTCCTATAATTTCAATTGGGGTTTTGCAGTTGCTTGCTAACCAAGAGTTTTTGGGGAAGGTCATATCAAGAACGCCCCTAAGACGGCCAGGGAATCCCGAAGAGGTTTCTTCAGTGGTTGCTTTCCTTTGCCTTCCTTCAGCTTCTTACGTGACCGGGCAGGTCATTGCAGTTGATGGTGGTTTCACAGTGAATGGTTTTGAAAGTTAGAAGTTTGTTTGTATATTCAACTTTTCAACCACTATTTCTTTGGTTGCATGTTACGTACCAGATTTTAGGAAGATAATAAAGATAATAATAGATGAAGGGGAAAGTTGTTTGGCATGTAAAGCACCTATTTTATCTCCTTTTCCCACTTCTGTTCTCTTTGATTGTATTTTAATGCCGTGATGCTGGTAATCTGACATTTTGGTCTAAATTCGGTAAACCCACTTTCCTGCCACCACAGCATTCGGGTGTAAAACTGTAGATGGAAATAAAGTAAATTTACTCTCTAGTTCTATTTGTATAATATGGAGTATAATATTAAAGAAAATAAGGTAAAATTTCTCATGTTATAACATTTTATCAATCTTATCATTTTAAACAATACACATTGTCATTCACAGTTTCTACATGCTCACAAGTCACAATTGTCATGTACGCAAATGCTCACATGGTGAGTACTGAATAGTGACTACTAGGTTGCCAACTGTGTAAGCGAGTCAAGCTGATCTTGACCATATATATTAGGCATGACATGCAAGCAGCTGAAGATGTATACCCAGAGCTCAAAGTTTGTGGATAATTTTTTTTCTTTCAGAAATGTTGTTTGTACACGCAATTTTACACATGGGATATTTTGTCTATGAGTAGACAAAATGTTAGGCGTGTAAAATGTCGTGGTGCAACCGATGTGTACATAAAACATATTTGTTTTTTTTTTAATTAGGTCACTCACCCCGTTTTCTTAAAACACATCATTTATAGTCCAAAGTCGTCAAATGTTGAAACACTAATGCGATAACACCTTGAAAGTTGAAACTAATTGACGAAACACTAATGCTGCCTATATTAAAAGCAAGGTTGCTGCATGTGGATTCATTTTGAGAAGTGCCCAGGCTAAATGCTTCCCTTTTAATCTTTTATTGCATATTTTTCCTGTACAAGCTGAATTGGGGGTGCTTCTTACTGCTCATACAAAGTGTACCGGTCAAGGATTTAAAACCAATTTTATTGAAGCTGACTCATTCTTCCTACATACGAAGTATTATACCTACAAGGAACACAGCCTCTTAGTAAATGCGCTGTAAATGATTTGATTTAAAACTAAAGAAGAACCTCCATTATAGAAATGAATGGTTATTAGAGAGGCACATATGTGCTTATTCCACATATGCCACTTCCTTATTTTCCGTTTTATTTATTTATAAGAAATTGTCCGAAGTAAAATTGTTTGTGAAATCCAAAACACGTTTTTATAACCTAATATAATATGGGCAATTATTGTTATGTTTTGTAATATTCACCAAACTTGACAGTAATTAGCCTTATTTTGAAAATAAAAATATAATAGTCTTATTTTCAAATGAAATAATGACATATTTGTAGCTAAAATAATGATTGTTCACAAAAATGTGACTACTGAATAACATATTAATGAAATCATAATAACCTATGTTCAATTTATAAACTTAAGTTACCATGCATTAAACTACATTGTAGTAAGTTAGTAACTATTACTCATATTTGTGTAAATACTATCCTCCGTTTTTTTAATCGCAACATGTTGAAATTTACACTATTCGCATGATCTACTTTGACTACATTTTAAGGTATTATTTTACGAAAATTATTTTTTTTTTTAAATATTGTTCAATTCATCTCATTATAAATTATCAAAATCTGATTTTTAATTATTTTTTACTAATAGAGATTAAAAAATAATTACGGTCAAAGACGTGCGTTGGCAAGTGTGAAATGTTGACCGTTGCAACTAAAAAAGAACGGAAGAAGTATGTTTTATTTTAAGTATTTTTCCAAAAAGGAACCTTTTAAAATTCCAAAATATTTTTTATCATATTTCAGGTCCCTTTTTTATTTATTTATTGAATTTTTTAAACCGTCAACCATGTGAACAAGGATATTATTGACAAATGTATGCGGTTGACGACATATTGACATGTGTTCTGCCCATGAAGCAGATCCCTTCTATGTGAAGAAATTGATAAAGGCTTCTGATATTTTGTTTTGCATTGCTCGTGAAGGTGAGGCCTGCACGCCAACAGTCCAATCAAATTTATTGAACCCATTTCTTTAAATAAAAAAGGACGTAATTTTTTTTCCTGTTTTTTCTCTTATCATTGCATGTATCTCTTTAATGTCAATTATAATTGATTAGATGAGTTTCAAATGTGTGACCTCCTCTATACCATCGAACCATAAAGTGCCTGACAAAAAAACGTAATTAAACACTCCATCGACAATATACATGAAATAATGCAAACAATTCGTAGCTTATAAAAATTTAATTAATATGTACTCCGTATAGTATTTATGTATAGTGCTCTGATCTCGTGCTTACTATTTATGATTAAATTAGTTCACGTAGTACTTACGAAATAGTTTTGACCTCATTTAGTTGGTTAAGTGCTTAACTATTAGTTGTTGATAAACTCAGCCCATTTTGTATATCATTTAGTCCATATGTTGTAATAAGGAGGCCTAGCCCAATAGCGTTGATGTAGTATTGATGTAGCAGTATAAATACCCAATATAAATACCCAATACAGTTGATGAATAAAGGCTAATCCGATTCATTGCAATTATTACATCATCTTCCCCTAACTAACCTAATGAACCAAGAGTGGTATTAGAGCTTGACGATTCGCAATGGCCAACGGGAATAACACGCTGTGAAATCTTCCGATGTTGACGCTGTGGGAATAACGGGATCTTGACGGATATGAGTGACGGAGTGTAAAGATGAAGACACTCTTTAGATATCAAGAAGTACTCGATGTCGTACTTAATGGCATTCCAGAAGTTGGAGCCACTGATGGTTCACGAGTTCCAGATAGTGATGCGAAGAAGAAAGACTATAAGGCGTTATTTTACATTCATCAATGTGTGGATGAGGCCAATTTTGAGAAGATTGCCTCAGCAACGTCTGCGAAGGAAGCATGGACAATCTTGGAATCCAGTTATGCAGGGATAACAAGGTTGAAGACAATAAGGCTTCAGACGTTAAGGTGCCAGTATGAATTACTGCATATGGAAGAATCTGAATCCGTTGCTGACTATCTGAATCGAATTTTGCACTTAACAAATTTGATGAAGTTCTGTGGAGAGAAACTCACCTCAAGAACTATCTTGAGAAGATTTTGCGAACTTTGCCCCCCAAGTTTGATGTGATTGCAGTCAATATCAAAGATTCACGTGATCTTGACACTATGAAGTTGGAAGAACTGCAAGGCACCTTGGAGGCTCGTGAGCAAAGAGTCAAAGAAAGAGAATCTACTCAATAAGCTTCGTCGGATTAGGCTGCCCTTCTCACTCAGATACCTAAAAGAAATGAACCCTGGAGAGGGGGAAGAGGACATATGAGAGGTAGAGGAAGGAGAGGCAGGGGTGGACGAGGTCACTCTGGAGGAAGAGGATCTGACCAATTTGACTCAAAGCCACAAAATGGGGGCAATTATAGAGGAAGAGGCAACTGGAGAGGTGGAAGAGGCAATGTGAGAGGAAATGGGAACTGGAGAGGTGGAGGTAAAGGAAACTCTAATACATCAAATCCCAGAAATAAGAATCAAGATAAGAGTAATGTCCAATGCTTTGTGTGTGAGGAGTATGGACATTACTCCTATGAATGCTGGTACATAAATACAGGTGATGAAAAGCATGAAGAAGCACATATAGCACAGGGTCAACAATCTGAGGAAGAGGATGTACTGCTTGTGGCCACAATTGCTTCAGATTCTTGCTTGGGTCAGGATGATGTATGGTATTTAGATATTAGATGCTCAAATCATATGAGTTGTAAGAAGGAGTGGTTTGTGATCTTGATGAGACATCAACCAGCAAAGTAAGATTTGCTGCTAACTGAGTAACTGGTGAGATCTGAAGGAAAGGGGAAAATCCAAATCAAGTGTAAAGATGGTAAATCAGCTTTCATTGCTGATGTTTTATTTGTACATGTAATGAAACATAAACTGTTGAGTATAGGCCAACTGCTTGAGAAGAAGTATAGCATTGAAATGAAAGACAAGTGTATCAAAATCTTTGATATAAATGGTGTATTAATCTTAAAGGCTCCATTAGCCTCAAATAGAACCTTTAAGATTGATATTAGTGTGAACCAGACTATGTGTTTTAAGGCTGGTATAGAAGAAGAAAGTGCTACTACATGTTGTTTCTTTGAGCACCAAGATATAGGTGCAGTACCCAACATGAACACATAGTCAGTAGTGCTTTTCCTATCGACCATATCTCCATCCCAATCTGAATCTGAGTACCCATTAATCATCTCTTGTTTTCCTTGCAGTGAATTAGGTAGCAAAATGCCATAATCTTTTGTACCCTTAATATATATGAGTATCCTCTTTGCAGCCACAAGGTGTGAAATCCTTGGATCATCCATGAACTTGCTAATAAGCCCTACTCCATAGGCAATGTCAGGTCTGCTAGAACATAGATATCTCAGACTCCCAACCATTTGTTTATGCAAAGTTGCATCAACTGATTCTTCATCCTCACACATGCCCAATTTCAGATTTGTTTCACATGGAGTAGCAGCTTCATTGCATTCTATCATTCCAAATCTCCTCATAATATCTTCTGCATATCTTCTTTGGTTTATTACATACCCTTTCTTTGTATGTATGAATTCCATACCAAGAAAGTAACCCAATCTTCCAATATCTGTCATCTCAAATTCAGCATTCATCTTGGCTTTGAATTGATCAATATGCACACTACTACAACCTGTTATCAACAAGTCATCAACATATAAACAAACAATAAGCAATTCACCATCTATCATCCTCCTATACACTCCATATTCAACACTGCACTTAGTAAAACCAATTTTGCTCAAATAATTGTCTATTCTCCTATTCCAAGCCCTTGGAGATATGGTGCACCTATATCTTGGTGCTCAAAGAAACAGCCTGTAGTAGCACTTTCTTCTTGTGAGGCTGAATATATTGTTGGGGCATATGCTGTTTGTCAGGCTATCTGGTTGAAGAATTTGCAAGATGAATTGCAGGTGGAGACTAAGGGGACACGAGTACTCATAATAGATAATCAATCAGTTATCAAGTTAGCAAAGAATCCAGTTGCACATGCTAGAAGTAAACATATAGAAACTGATGGACAGTTTACCCGGGGGGTATCTTATCCGAGGGGTTATTGCGGGAATAACTAGAGAGAAGTCAGAGTAAATAGGAGGAGAGAGAGTCGATTTTATTAAATGAACTCAGCGTCGTTTACACGGAGAACAAGGGCTGCTATTTATAGCAGCAATAAATGCGATGAGAGTACACGTGTCAGCAATCCAACGGCCAAGGGGTCACATCAGTTGGGTGGCACCGGCAGTGGTACGTTCACCGCATTGAATGCGGTTGGCGGATGTGACGTCGCATTGAATGCGGTGGTTGGCTGTCTTTAAGGGGAATCTTTGATGATTGAGCAGGTTCGGCCGAAGGTTCCTTATGTAGCCGAGGGCTCCATGGAACCGAGGACCCCTGTATAGCCGAAGGCCCTGTGTGACCGAAGGCTTGGTTCAGCCGAACGCTTCTCTGATGCCGAGGGCTTGATAATGCCGAAGGCTCATGTTTTTCGCCGTTTTCTCCCAGTAGCTTCTTATGCCAGAGAAGGCTATCCTGTGAGGTTTGGAGCCTTCGGCCAAGGAGGCCGAAGGCACCCCAGTGTGTATTCTGGGCTACTTTGAGGCTTGGGCCGTTGCATTTGGGCCTGAGTTGTTCTCTAGGCTCAATGGACTTGTGTAGGAGAAGTAGGAGTCTATGGGCCGGGGGTTCCTGGGCCATATACTCCATCAGAAACAAGGTTTCATTTTTTGAGGAATCTGGTAAATAGAGGGAAGCTGGTGCTGAAGCATTGCAGCACTGAAGAACAGGCGGCAGATATATTGACTAAGCCTTTGAAGATACAAATATTCTTGAGGCTTAGAAATCAGTTGAATGTAGTTTCATGTGCTGAGTTTAAGGGGGTGTATTAGTTGTTAATAAACTCAGCCCATTTTGTATATCATTTAGTCCATATGTTGTAATAAGGAGGCCCAGCCCAATAGTGTTGATGTAGTATTGATGTAGCAGTATAAATACCCAATACAGTTGATGAATAAAGGCTAACCCGGTTCATTGCAATTATTACATCATCTTCCTCTAACCTAACGAACCAAGATTAACCAAATTGACGATACAAAACAACTACTGTTTCGAAAACCTGCTAATTGGTAAATGGAAAATACTACCAATATTTATTCAGCATTTATTGTTTTTCATAGCACATTAGCACGTCCGTTTTTTCTGAAAAAAGAAAAGAGGGAACGTTCGTTGGAATAATTAAAACTACAATTACTTGGTGCAACCATATTATAGAGACTTCAAAATTCTTCGGGCAAACTATGTTTCTATGAAATCCAATATCATGCATAACATTTTTTTGTGAGGTACCACAAAAAAATATGTTTCTAAAAAAATATTCATCAAGACAAAAGTGTATCACAAAAAAATGTTACTTTATCATTAATATAGACAACATACCCTTCCAAAAAAACAATATAAACAACACAAATTATGTGTGTTGAGGTGTAGAGGGTGTTTTTTTTCTTGTTTGACAATGAACCAACTACCATGGCTGAGTTATAAAGGGCATGTTTGGTAATGGCTACGATGGCCGAAAAAGACTGAAAGTGATTGGTTATACTTTTTAAAAACGGCACAACCATTATGGAGCCGAGCATGACTTGGGAAGGTATACTTTTTTAAAACGGCATAACCATTGTAGAGCCGAGCATGACTTGGGAAGGAAAGGTATTAGTTATACTTGACTTTTAACCTATTAACCGTACAAAAATAAAAATTAGCCCAAAAAGTAACTATGAAGCAATTTTTGAGCTGCTAATATACAAGGATCATTCAAAGCAGCCCATTGAAATGGTGTTTGGCTATTTTTACAGATTTTCAATCTAAACAGCTCAATTTTGCTCTTCCAAACAACTCAAAGAATACGGAGTAATTGTATGTGTTAGAGGTGCAAAAGTTGTCTACAAAAGTGTGTAATCAATTTTTTTCTAAATAAAATGAGTTTTTTTTTTTGGTGATATAAAATGAGATATTATGAAATACGGTAGTACGTAGTTATATAGGATGAAAAGTAGCTAGGTGCTACGTGGAGGGATGTAAATGTGCCATACTGGTATGCTGTTGACCCCTCGTAACATGGTGCGGCGACAAACGAAGATTCGTATCAATAGTGGGGCAGCTTATATCATTCAAATACCAATGGGACATAGACATTTTACCTCCATTAATATCAATAATTCTAAGGAATCCAAGGGAATTCATTCTTTTATAATTGTAACGTTTAGATTATAAAAATGTTAAACGTGAAGAATTTTAAAATTAAAAATTTAATACATTTCTAAATAAAATAAAATGTAATCAAAGTAAATCATGTGAAGATGGTATAAAGTTTCAAAGATCCCGTTTATTTATCATACATAAATGGGCAAATATTGCCCCAAATTATACTGCATACGTCTCATATTAGTTGTCCTATTTTAATTTGACACGATTATCAATAAAATGATTTCAAAGTAAAAGTGATAATGAGATTCGAGTAAAATAAAGTGAAATGATAAAATATGAAGAACCACATATTTCTTGTTAAAATGGAAACATAACACTCACTTTGGACACCTAAAAAGGAAAGTAGGGCAACCAAAATGTGACGGAGAGAGTAAACAAAAGATGGTTAACTTACCCCAACTCCACGAAATTCATTTCAACCCGTAATTTTTGTGGTGGAAAACTCATACTTCCCTGTCTCTTGTTATTTAATGAAATTTGATTTTTAAATCAATGATGTTAAACTTTGAACGATTACAAATCTATAAACGATAGTATTGATAAATTAAAAATGATATAAAAACATTCTTTCTTAAAAATATTATCATAAATGCATAAATTTATTAATTTCACATAAATATACTCTTTCTGTCCCTTAAAAATTTTGTCAATTTTCCTTTGTTTGTTGTCACACTAACTTTACCACTTTTCTTTTGTGCAAACCATAACCAAACAGTCGTCACAAATTTCATTTCAACCAGTGTTATCTAACTTGATCATGTTTTAAAGGACGGAAGAAGTATTGGTTAAAATAATAGTCAAAGAGGCTCAATAAAAAGGGAAGGGTGGAGTGCCATCCTTTTCTTGAAATTGAGTTTTAAAAATTGGTTCAAATCAAACCAAACAACTGTTAAGACAAGTACAAAGTATGTCACACATTTATTAGAACAGTTCACACAATAATTTCACACAATAATTTAACAAGTTATGCTATGTACTAAACTAGAACATGACATTTCAATATCCCAAATCCGTAAACACTTACACAAATTCCAAAATTGAGTTTTTGCTCTTTATATCACTTATTAATTTATTTTCCTTTTCATACTTACATTTAAAGATGAACACGTCACAAAATTTAATGCAATATATTAAGAGGTCGTTTGATAACACTATTTTTCGGCTTATCAGGCTTATTAGCCAACTTTTTCACCAAACACATAGTTTTTGCTTTCGCGCGCTGAATTGTGTAATAAGCAAAACAAGTAATGTTGGAGTTACTTTTTTTGCTGTATTGGATGAAGTTATTGTAGATAACCATTTTAGCTATTTTTACATATAATTTTTTCTTTATTTTATAAATAAAATATATTTTAAAAATAATTTTTCTTAAATCAGCAAAATTAGTCAATGCAGCCACTTCATCCAGAACTTCATAAATTTCAGCAGAATCAGCCAAATCAGCCGATTTTTGAGCTACCAAATGAGCTCTAAGTATTATTGAATTTGAAATCAATCTTTGCATTTAAATAAATTAATGTGGGGTAATATAAATTTAAACAAAACAATCTTAACTATTGACATTAATTTGAAATTGTGTATGAAAAACTAACATTATGCCACTTGCTATTTGAACTTTATGGAACTCACGGCATCCTCACCCATATATGATTTTTTAGATCATTTGGATGATGTGGAGGATCTTTTTGGAGATCATGGATGGGGAGTTCAGATTATTTTATGAGATTATTTGATAAAATAATCTGATATCAAATTCTAAAGTTGGATTATTTTGAGATTATTTCCAACTTCTAGGCATATATCCATAATTATGATGATGACTAGCTTTATAGTACGTGCATGCTCATCCTCCTATCCAAGGTAAATTAAGATCATGAATGAGAATAAATTTATTGTTTGAAGATTATTTGAGATTATCTCATATGGAGATGACGTGACAATGATAAGTCACGAAAAATCGTAAAGTTAAAGATAAATGTGGATACTCTCACAAATCCCCTAGAAAAATCCGCACTCACATCCCTCATTAATTTTTAATGTTCCCATGTTGGTCAGATGCGTACTGTTTATGAAACATGTATAACTAAAAAAACGAAGAGGCCGGTTTACAAAAAAAACGAAGAGGCTAATTGATCACACAATTGGTTCATTTATGTTCAATTTTAATTCAAAAACTATTTGCGACCTAAATTCTAAATTCTAAATTCAGCTGAAAACTAGATGCAAGTATTTTTGCTTTTTCCTATTACATAATTAAAAGGAAATCTCACAAAAAAAGATAAAATACTTCGAATGAGTTCATGGCACACTCTTCCTGAAGAACGACCAAATGTGATCTGACACGTAAAAATGCCCTTAGTTATAGACGAATTTAAAAGGTGTCAATTCACATCAAAAAGGAAATGCCTGGAAAGTTTAGACTTTAGAACACAACATTTTAATCATTTTCTATTTTAGTAATATAGTTGTGATTATGGGCCGCAACCCGATCTCATTATAGATCCTGCCTAAGCCCTGTACTACCAAACTCACCCTTCAAGGTAGCCTTACGTGTCGTGTATGTACGATAACACGTTAGCCCTCCCTTGAACAGAGCATTTTAGACTTCGAATTAGGAAAAAAAATAAGGTACATTTGGATCAGGTTAGTTTCTGTGCATCTCTTCTCAAATCGACAACGACGACGCTGATGTTATCGGAACTCTGCCGCGCTAAGGCCAGCTTGGTCAGCAGGATTGAAGCATCAGAGCAAGCTTTGTCCGACATTTCCCCGGCGGCGGCGGCCGTCACTGTAAAGTCCCTCTCCTGCAACTTCCCCGGCGACCGGGACTTTCCTTGTCGCAGGCACATGCGGGCAACGCCACAGGCTGTCTCGTTCGACACGACGTCCCACAGCCCGTCGCTTGCTATGATCAGACATTCGTCCTCCGGCGTCCTCTCCGTGATGGTCACCTCCGGCTCCGGTATCACATACGGTTTCAGATAATTGTCGCCTGAAGATTGAAATGAATACTATTAGCTAGAATTCGCTGGAAAATAATAAGGTGGTTAGGGATTTAGCATACCAATAGCCCGAGACATTGCTAAGACACCGAGAACACGCGGCCCATCCCAGTAAATGACGCGGCCGCCGGCTTCTTCTATCCTCTTCAACTCATCTGGTAGATCCGGCTGAAACGAATTCATTCCAAACTTACGTCAATTGAAGTTCTAATTATTGGAATACAATCATAGTTTGTACTCTGCAACTCTGTATGTACCTTATGATCAACCGACAGTGGAATGGCCGCTCCACTCCGGCAAAGAACGGCGCGAGAATCGCCGCAATTGGATACAACGATATTTTCCGGCGTTACCACGGCAACAACTGCGGTGGATCCGACAGCATCGCATTGAGGAGTTTGCATATTGCAACGGCAACTGGCGCGTTCGGCCCCGGAGTTCGCTGCAGTCGCCCAGTCGGTTATTTCCTGGTCCATTTTACTGAAACCCCGGCGCATCGCCTCCTCCCATGCATTTTCACCTTGCAGAAACTCTTCCTGGAGGATTTCGTGCATTCTATCTCCACACTTCATCGCTACCTATGGAAGCTTAAATGAGGAATTAGGAAAAATACAATCACAAATTCATGCGGAATTAAAATGCAGCAGAGTTCAATTCATCTATAAGGACTGTTAATTGATTAAAACTTACATGGGAGCAACCGTGGCCGTCGTACACACCGAAAAAGTGAAATCTCTTCGAGTTTTCGTCATTTCGCCGGAGGAAGTAGGGGTGAACAGCCACTGTATCTTCCATATCCCTTCTCCTTCCACAAACAGAAGTCATACCGAACTTCGGACAATCCGGCTCCACTCCGGTGCACTTCGCCGATTCATGCCAGTTCGGATCCTCGATCGGATCCTTGCTGCTAATGATTGCCTTAGTTTTCTCAACCGATTTTTTATCCTCGCCAAGCTTAGAAATCTGAGAGATTTCGTTTACTTCCGAATTCCTCCGCTTCTTACACTTCTCATTCGTGACACAGCTCTCCGATGCGCTTTGGCTCTCCAACGGCGGCGGAGAATCCGGAAAAACCTTACCAGACCTGTGGCGCTTCCTCTCGGTCTCCAGAGGCGGAGCCACCGCGGCATCCGGCGCCACGAAACGGAACTGATGAATCTCCATTCGGCGTCTCCTAGGGCCGACGGAGCTGGGAGTAACCGGAGATTTAGTCTCTGTTTCACCACCGCACATGGCAGCCATAAGGAATTTTTCAACCTTGTTCTTAAATTCCGAAATCCAAACAGGGAATAATAGATGAAAGAAATTTCAAAAGGAAGCTAGACAGGAGAGGCTCATAAATGGGGGAGGCAAAGGAGGGATTGCATAACACCTGGCGGTAGGGCAGGTGGGCAGATGGGTGATATCACGGGCAGGTGACCGGCACCGGCCCTGGCAGATGAGTGGAGATCTGACCGTCGAAATATCTTTCGTGATCTTTTTGGGTACGAAAATGGGGTGGACACGTGGAAAGGAAACGGAAAGAGAAAGAGAGAGATGGGAGCCAATCAGAGGTCAGCACGCAGGGGTGATTAGTTTTCTCCACGTTGAGGAATAATGAATGGGGCGTGAGATGGAGCGCGCGAAATGGGAGCGGTGGGGCCTTGTGTCTGAAAATCTGGTCACCTCCTGCATTCGACAAGTGTCTACGACTGACGTGGACATGAAGCTTAAATCTCACGAGGACTTCTTTTGCAAAAGTATTCGACCTCAATGACGTTAGCTATTTCCGTAATTTACTCAACAACAATGACGTTAGCAAATGAAAAGAGAAGGCAAAAGGGTCAAATAGGCCCCTGAACGTATTTGAATTGCGCAATTCGCACCCCGAACCCAAATAACCTCCGATCAGGCCCACCATCCCCCTTTTTTTGTTCAAATCCTACATCTACCCGGTTACCTCCCGTTTTCTCCCCTTAAATGCCCAGTCAGCAAGTTTTGCTCCAAATCTAATGCTGACTCATTAATTCGTCCCAGTCCAAGTTGTCTACGTGTAATAATAAAACCTATTTACCGTTTAGGAATCGAACCCTAATTTGAAAGTTGGAACTGTCATACGAGTAGTCGTCATACCAGAGCGCGCAGAGGAGAAGATAGAGGAAGAAGACTTGGAGGTTGAAGGCGAAGCCCTGAATCGAAGGCTCTAAGGTAAACCAAGTGACTGAAATGATTAATTTGCATTTACTATAGTCGAACCCTTTATTTTTATGTCTTGTATGCTGTCAGTGTAAAAGCCATTGATGCTGAGTATTTTTTTTTCGTATCAGAATGTGGGAAACATTGGACATCATTTTATACTATGGTGGAAACCTAGAGTCATGCTCTCCTATGGAGTATACCAATGGCCACATAGAGGTTATCAAAAGTGACCCTGATGTTGTCAGTTATCCTCATTTAAAAAAGTTCATAGAATCAGGACCATTTGGGGGATTTGGCAAGCTTATGTATAAACTGCCTTGTGAACCCTTAGAGTCTTTAAGGGAGTTGTGTGATGATGCTACCACATTGGACATGGTGAGGTTGTCCTCTGCTGGAGTTTGTGAATTGTATTTGCTTAAACCTTCCAACTGTGTTGATCACCAAGGAAGTTCAGTTGACCGGATTGGTGATTGTGATGGAGGCCTGCATGAAGTGGAAAGGCAAACATGTGTTGATGCAGTTGTAAGGATCAAAAGGACCAAGAAGTTGAAAGCAAGAAGAAAGAAAGATTCAGGCAATCAACCTGAGAGGGCTGCAACTGACACTGGTGTTAGTGCTATGGATCAAAATGACAATGTTGGAACTGAGATGGCTGACACTCTTGAGCTTTGTGATGTTGAAATTCAGACACTTGATGATGATGAAGATTTGGAGAGCCAAGAAGACCCTCCTCTCAGTAATGAAGATGGTTCTGATAATGACAATGGTTCTGATACTGAGGAGGTTTTGGGGACAAGACCACAGAAGAATAAGGAGTCTGTGCATGAGGAAGAGGATGAGGACTATGAAGATAGCATGATGTTGTACCCTTCTGATAACCCACCAAGCTATGTTTCAGATGCCTCAGGTATGAATGAAGATGAAGTGGAGTCCAAGCTTAAAGACCATCATCCTTCATACAACCCACAGAGTGAACCTCCTGATATTGAGCCTGGGATGCTATTTGAGGACAACATTCAATTTAAGAGTGCCCTAATTAAATATGCTGTGCACCACAAGAAGAATATATTCTTTAAGAGGAACGAACCAATGAGAGTCCGGGCACAATGCATTCAGGAAAACTGCCCTTTTTCCTGTTATGCAAGCTGGGAAGAAAGGTTCAAATGCTTCCAAGTTAAAAGCATGCAGACCAAACACTTATGTAACCCAAAGTTCAAGTTGAGAGTTGTGTCTGAAAAATGGATAGAAGAGAAATATGAGGATAAGGTTAGAGATGACCCCTGTATTGGGTATGTGGCCTTAAAGGAGCACATAGAGGCTGAACTGGGCATTCATGTTTCATTTAGCATGGTGAGGAGGGCTGTACGAGGCATTAAGAAGAGAATAAATGCCAGCTTTGCAGAACAGTTTAACAGGCTTAGAGATTACGCTCAAGAGTTGCTGGATTCTATTCCCAACAGTACCATCAAGATCATGACTTCCACAGTAGTTGATGATGGCCCATGCTTCTTCCAGAGATTTTATTGCTGCTTTGGTCCAATGAAAAAGGGTTTCTTAGAAGGCTGCAGAAAGATAATTGGGTTAGATGGATGTTTCTTAAAAGGCTTATTGAAGGGAGAAATACTCACAGCAGTTGGAAGGGATGCAAACAACAACATGTACCCTATTGCATGGGCAATTGTTGAGATTGAAAATACCTCATCCTGGTCATGGTTTATAGAGCTGTTGAAGGAAGATCTTCAAATTGTGGATACCTCTCCCTGGACTGTCATAAGCGATCAACAAAAGGTAAATATAATTACATTTTATTAAAATACAATTACATTTTATTACTTAAATGACATTGTCAAATAGTGTTACTGAATTTTAATAGTCTTACATGTTATTACTTTAATCACACTATCAAATACTGTCATTAGATACACTTACTTTTTCAATCACACATACAGATTACAAGTCATGGTAACACTTCAATGACATGAACTTTTTTAAGTCATTGAAGCTTCTAAAACACTAAATTTGGTAACATGTACTTCCTGGGTATTGCATAATGTAATAAATAATGGTGATGACATCCAAACCTTACTTCCTTGTAGTAGTTATTAGTACAGTTCTTGTCATCCAACCCTTAATTACTGTTAACAATTGTACATATCACTTTACTAATATGACTTTAAAGTTATTAGTAAACTTATTGTCATCCAAACTTACTTACTATTAACACTTGTACATATCAGTTTACTAACATGAATTTAAACTTACATGAAGGGGCTACTCAATGTCATCCAAACCTTACTTCCTCAATCTGAGCATCGCAATTGTGCAAGGCACATCCATGCTAATTGGAGCAAGACACACCGGGGGAAATATATGAAGCAACTGTTTTGGATGTGTGCTAGGTCTACCTGTCAAGCACAACTGGATGAGTGGCTACAAGCTCTACACAAAAAGGACCCTAGAGCTAAATCAGATTTGGAAAAATATCCACTCAAAAACTTCTGCAAGGCATTTATAAGGACGAGTGTGAAATGTGACTCTGTAGACAATAACATGTCAGAGGCCTTTAACCGGACACTTGTTGGTTGTAGGAGCAAACCAATCATACCCATGCTAGAGGATATGAGGATTCAAATGATGCAGAGAGTTGCAAAAAAAAGGGAGCTGGCAGTTAGATGGAAAGGAAGGGTGTGTCCTAATGTGAAGAAGATTTTGAATGCCAACATCATGAAAAGTTCAAAATGGCGTGTAATTTTCAATGGAGATGATGGGTTTGAAGTTAAGAAAGGAAAGTACCAGTACAAGGTTAAGGTGGAGGGAGGCACCTGTTCTTGCAGATCTTGGGAGTTGACTGGAATTCCATGTCAACATGCTATTTGTGCTATGTTTGACATGGGAAAAGATCCTGAAGACTATGTTGATGACTGTTACTCTGTAGCTTCCTTCAAGCGCACTTATTCATACTCTTTGGACCCAATCAATGGAGAGATGGCTTGGCCTAAGGTGGGTGGAGAGAAAATAAACCCCCCTGCACCTAAAAAAATGACTGGCAGGCCTAAGAAAAAGAGGACCCGCGAGGAAAGTGAGCCTCCAGCAGGCAAGATTTCAAGAAAGGGCAGGATCATGACATGTTCCACTTGTAATCAAAAGGGGCACCAGAGGCACAAGTGTCCTACTACTGCTGCAGCACCAACTCAGGCATCATCAAGGGGTGGAAGAAGTGGGACAACTGCAAGGGGTGGAAGAGCTGGGAGGGGTGGAAGGGGTGGCATAACTGCAAGGGGTGGAACTGCAGGGACAAGTGCAAGGGGTGGGAGATCTGGAAGAGCTGGGAGGAGTGGATCCAGGAGGGGTGGAAGAGGACAACCTGAAGATATGGTTTAATTATTGAAAATGTATTGCTATAATGTTTTGGCCCAAAATGCTGTTTAAAACTGTACTATTGCAGCTATTGTTTTACATTGGGTGTATGTAATATTTGTAAGGCTACTCTTTCGTATTTTGCTTGTCAAACTTGTTATGTTTTGGAATATTTAATGTGGTTGTTGACTTTGTTAAATTGGGCTATTGTGCACTTATGTACTTGTGTGTTAGTACATGTGATGGTGGGGTAATGAAGTTGGCATTATTGTTTTCGTATTGGGTGTCCATTATTCAAACCAGATGGAACATGGTGGGGTGGGGTTTATTCTTTGCTGCAGGTCACACTTTACTCACATGGCTTTGGCTTTTTTCACATGGGTGATGGCCTGATGGGTATGCTTTACAGGGAGTTGATTAGGCTGCATTATTGGAGTCCTTTTGGCAGATGGTTTTATCACTTTTTATGGAAAAGGGTAAAGGTGTAGGGTATTTGATGGGCTGTCCGGATTAGGAGTATGGAGTATGTTTTAGATGGGTTTTTTGTGGCTTATTTTTCCTCTATCCTAATGATAGTATTTGACAGCTTTGATCAAATGGTTGTTTGTCATTGTAAATGTGATTACAAGTTCTAAAAATCAACACAGATATTTACATAAGTCAATACACAAGTAACAAAGCTCCATTCATTTACTCCATTGTTAAACAGGTCCAAGTACATTGAAAACTAACAAACCCACTAATCTATTACAATTTCTTAAGAATGAGAGCTGCAACAACAAACATCACAACCCCTTGACACATTCTCTTCCAAAACAACTTCTCTTTAGCTTCACTTTCAAGAATCAGTTTGATGGTTTGTATGTCACGCTGCATCACTAACATCATCCTTTTCAGGTCATGATTTGAGCATTCCTTTGAGCCAGGGACCCCCATGTATGCTTCTTTTTCTTCATGCAAACCTGTTAAATCCTCTTTCCATACAAAATATCCGCAGCCTAAACCGTCCTACAATGACACAAACCAATTTGTGTATTATAAAAGAAACGAATAACAAAATTTTTAAACCAATTTTTAAACTAGTTTTTTTCGAGGTCAAATTCTACCAGAACCGGCCTCTTTCCAATTTATGTGGCTTAAACGAAGAACATAAATACTAACACAAGCCCCCATAAAAGCCCTACTTCATTTGTATTACCAGATCAAATTCACAAATACATACCTTCCATCTTTGGCATCCATAAAACTGTCGCCCACTTTCCCGGGTTGTACACAAGCGAGCTTTGACACCACACAGACAGTTCGGGTCATACGCACTCAGTTTCCTTCCCAGCGAAGAAGACGATGAAGCCGCCATGTCCTTCTACCTTTTACGCAACCTGCTCCAGCTTTTAATGGTCGAATATGGGTGGATGGAGTATTTAATGAGTCAGCGTTCAATGAGATGTAGGTTTAAAGGGAGTTGGGGCAAAACTTGCTGACTGGGCATTTAAGGGGAGAAAACGGGAGGTAACCGGGTAGATGTAGGATTTGAACAAAAAAAGGGGGATGGTGGGCCTGATCGGAGGTTATTTGGGTTCGGGGTGCGAATTGCGCAATTCAAATACGTTCAGGGGCCTATTTGACCCTTTTGCCAAAAGAGAAAAGAGCAATTTGTTGAGGTGGGCTTTTGTGGGCCACAAAAATAGATTGTGGTACAAATAGGAGTACCAATTGGGATACCTATAGTAGAGTTGATTTGTATTAGGGTGAGACTTTGGAACAAAGAACTGGAAAACCGTTGCAACTGAATCCTTAAAATTCGATACGGTCAGCTTTTATTCTTTGGTAATTGTTCGGTTTCTGATTCCTACCAAAAAATATGCCTACGAAATGATCAAAGAACGTTATTAAAAAATAAAAAATTGAAATTATAACTAGTAATAATAAGGGCATCATGTGCGCTGGTCTCTTCCTTTGCACACTAATAATCACATGTAACCCTAGTCTACTGCCGCCGCACTCAAAATTGGAAATAGTGGATTGGTGTTTGAATCCGTAGCTCTAAATGTTAATAGCGGGGTGGGAGAGATCCCACGTGTCTTTGTTGTTGCTAGAGTTATCACGGATAAACATGTTTGTCTTGTTTCCTTTAGGGAAACTATGGCAATGATCTGACGACCAAGTAAAGGGGTGAGCATCGAACAGATAGGTGATATCTCACGAGTTTTGCAGGATGGACCCTGGTCTTTTGACCAAAATCTAGTTCTTATAAGCAAGGTAGAGAGAGAGAGAGAGAGAGAGAGAGAGAGAGAGAGAGAGAGAGAGAGAGAGAGAGAGAGAGAGAGAGAGAGAGAGAGAGAGAGAGAGAGAGAGAGAGAGAGAGAGAGAGACCACTCGAGGTGGAGCTTAATCATGAGGGAAAAGTAAGAAGTTTGTTCAAATCCGTGTGTTGATCGATAAAAGAAATACTCTGAAGAGAAAACTCAGTTAATGGAGGAAGGATATAGCTGGTTCTGGGCATACTTTAGATACGAGGGACTTCCAAATCTATGCTTTATATGTGGCATCATGGGACATACTCATAAATACTTCCCCTCAAATTAAACCATAGGGCAGGACCATGGGTGGGGGACAAACTGTATGGCCCTTGGATGAGGGAAAACATGCGCCGAGGGGGAACCCACCTTGGAAATAAATGGCTTATCCTGAGTTCAGGGCGTGAAGAAAAAAGCACAAAGGATGTAGAGGAAAGACAGAGTCAGCTGGCATGATGTCAGGAGAAGGGTACCGGTGTGGGATGCTATTCGGTGCAGGGTTTGATCTTGCTAGGAAAAGTAAAAATGGAAATGATACAGGAGCCGCAGCAGGATAGAAGTTTAAAGGAAGGCGAATTTAGGAAACGAAGAGCAGTGGATGCAAGTGGGAGTCTTCCTTTGGAGGTGGCTGGATAAATCTCTTCTCCCTTCCCGATGGATGGTCAAGTTGGAATGTTGTCTTTAGAGGTGGTGGATCAAGCCACTTCTCCCTTGTTGGTGGTTGGTCAAACCATGATTTTTGCTGATCATTTCCCTTTTCCCTTTTTCAGCTTTCGAAAGCTTGTTTTTTATATTTTTGTCTTATTAGAAAGTCCATCAATGCTGATAGAGTAGCCTGCCATATTGTGGAGTTAGCGATTTGACACGGCTTGTGGGGCTAGCTAATTTTATGTCTCACTCCAGGATTGCTCTGAGCTGTCGCTCTGTTTTGTTCACTGTTACTTTTAATATATATCATTAATAAATGACTGTCTTTCTTTAAAAAAAACTTAGTAATGATAATAATAACAATAGTAATATTATTAACATTAACAATAACAATAATTATAGTAGTAAGAATATAGTCGATTATAGAATACATTAAGAGGTTTTTTTACAAATCATATTTTGTTGCACCACAGAAATTTCATAACTATAAAAGTAAACCAAATTAATTCATGTTGGTTAGATGTATTTTTCTTTATAATAATCAAGATGATTGCAATTCTAAATCGATCTTATTCACATAACTGAAAAATGACTATCATCACACATAGCTTGTACATGTATGGAGGAATTTATTTGTAAAAAGTGTAAACAGATCACGTACCCAAACACACAAACAACATTGCAGTGCACATCACCGCTTCACGTGCTTACAGACAATTATGAATCAAATGAGAAAGTTACACTTGAAAACTCGTATTTTGTTCACAAAGATAATTGAAAATGATCACACACGTGATTCGTTTGCATGCATACAATAACAATAATATGTCTGAGAAAAGCGCATTTGAGAATCTATAAGAGAAAACAGTCAATTAAGTCCACCTACTCTGGGCGGAAAGTCAATTGAGTCCATGTACAATTTTTTCGGTCAATTGGGTTCACATATTTCAAAATAACGGTCAAAAACGTTTTTTAGGCAGTCGCCAGCCGGTTAGCCAGTTACCGGGTGACGTGGCTTCTAACGTGGCATACTTAACCGGGAAAAATCAATTTTTAAAAAAAAAAATTCAAAACCTCTGTCCTCGTCATCACGACTCTCCTCATCTGCGATTTATCTGATAAAGAACCCTAGGCCATTTATTTCTTAACTTCTCTTCCTCCCAGTTGTGCAGTGAGATCAGTGAGCTCGAACGGAAATGGCAACTTCATCCTCATCGACTTCCACTGCGAGAAGAGGACGGAACTTCACCCTTGATTACGACCCGGCAGTGTTTTGCTTCTGTGGATTGAAAGCTCCCCTTTGTGTATCGCGACAGAGTGGGAGTAAGTTCTATGGGTGTCAAAAATGGAAGGTAAATGTTATAAGGAATCCCATGTTATAATTGCTTTATTTTGGTGTTAAAGATGCAAATCATAATATAGGTTAGCATTGAACAGGTTCATGGGTGCGGATTTTTTTCCTGGGCGGACTCAATGGACACGAGGGGGGTTCCTAACGTTGCAGGGATGAATGAAAACACTGAAGATTTGAAAGTCATGGTATCTAGAGTTGGTGAACAATTAACTGCTATGCAAGGCCAGCTCAATGGTGTGCGAAGGGTAGTTCAAGCTGCAGAGAAGGATTCCAAGATGTATAGGAAGTTGTTTGGATTTGGTTTGGTTGTTGTAATTGGTTTACTGGGAATGTTGTATTGTAAGCTGAGTAGTATGTAGTGAAAAGGGTAGGTGGCTTGTGTAGTACATGTTAGTACTCGATGTGTAATCAATGGTTAAGTAGGTGTGTTGTTTATGAATGCTTGACATGTACTGGATGCCTCTGTTTATCAGTACTCCTTCGATGTTATTGTTATCAGTACTCCTTGGATGTTATTGTTATCAGTACTTTTTCTTTATGATGAAGGTTATATAAAGGTTTATCAGTACTGGATGTCTTTGTTTATCAGTACTCTTTGGATGCATATAGTTTAAGATTAATCCATGTATAATAAAGTGGGAGTACTGGATGAAGGATGAATAATAGGTTTGGAAAACCTTACTGCACATATATGTTGTTTACATGTATACAGGTTAATATAGCTTTGTACAATTAAGGTTGTTGATAGATTATGGATGAAGCTGCCTTTTTTGACAGATGATATGTGCAGTAAGGTTTAACTTAGATTAACATTGCTGCCAAGTAACATTAAGTACCACATGAATCCATTCATAACAGGCTGAAATTTTGTTAACATTGCTGATAATTAACATTAAGTAGCACATAAATGTGCTGACATTATAGGCTAACATTGATCCATCAAAGATGCCATAAGTGTTCTGAAATTAAGTATATAATAAGCTGTCTACAACACAAATAACAATACAGCACAGCACTTTTAATATGAGTCATATAAAGCCCAATAAAGCATCCAAATACATTACATCATGGAAGGAAATAAAGCCAACTGTAAATGGCCCCCCAAAGTTTGATTCTGCCTTACATCCGAAATACAACAAAAAAGCAAAAAAGGCACATTTAAAAGCCACAACAACCCTCTTTAAAGGGCAGAAAAAAGGACAACAGCACATGGGCTACATCTATCCATCAATCATGAGAGCCTTCAAGCCAAAATACACCAGCCTTATCATCTTCACACGCATCCACACAAAAACTTCAACATCTCAGCTCTTCTCTACCACTTCATGGACATCGACCAACAATTCTTTCACTTGGTTGTCCAGGCTGCAAATAGGTAAACAACAAAGTCAGCTATTATAAATTTAAAACTTCTTTCTAAATTTTACAAACTCTGTATTATGAACTTACATCCACCAAGGTTTCACCCGTGCTTGCATCAAAGTATACCCCAAAACCTCTATGTGTTCTTTCCCTCTGTCCTCCCCCTCTTCCTTTACCCCTCCCCCCTCTTCCCTTTCCACCTCTTCCATTGCCAACAACTCTAGATTCATCATTCAAACCAGCTGATTGTGTTCCAGAGGCTTGTGATGTTCCTCTTCCTGTACCAGTACCCCTCCCCCCTCTTCCTTTACCTCTCCCCCCTCTTCCCCTTCCACCTCTTCCATTTGCAACATCACCAGAATCATCAATCACAGCAGTTGGCCCACCTGCATCAGTGCTTCTTCCCCCTCTTCCCCTCCTTCCTCTTCTCCCTCTCCCTCTTTCTTCAGTTGGTCTGTTATTATCATTACATGAAGATTTATTGTGACCCGGTTTCTTACAAATAGAGCAGGTCATAATCCTGCCCTTTCTACTCATTCTTGTAGCCGATGTTGGTTGTTCACTTTCCTCCCTTACCCTCTTCTTTTTAGGCCTTCCAGTCATCTTTCTTGGTAATGGAGGCATTATTTCTTCATGTTCTATTCTAGGCCACAACAGCTCTCCATTTATTGGTGGCAAGGTATAAGAGTAGGTCTTTTGATATAGCTCCTTGGAGTAGCAACTGTCTACATAGTCTTCCGGTTGGTCTCCCTTATCCAATATTGCACAGATGGAGTGGGCACAAGGGATACCACTGAGATCCCATTTTCTGCAAGAGCAGGTTCTTTTCTGCAGACTGACCTTGAACTGATGTCTTCCTTTCTTAATCTCGTAACCATCATCACCATTGAAGTCCACATGCCAACCTTGGCTTGCTAAAACATTCTTATTTAGCTTCTTTATAATAATTGGTCCAAATTTCCCTAAAACAGTAAAATGTGAGAAGGTCAAAAACCTGTACAAGGCATATCCAGGAAAGAATACATACATATCTTATTTAGTTGTTATTAATAAATACATATCTTACCAGTCCACCTTTCCACATATTGCCTTTTTTTTTGCTATTCTTTTCATCATTCCAACTCTGATGTCTTCAAGCATGGGAATCAATGGCTTGCTTCTGCATTTCAGTAGGCTGCTATTGAAAGCTTCAGACAAGTTGTTGTCTACTGTATCACACTTCACATCAGTTCTGAAATAGGCCTTGCACCATAACTTCAAAGGGTAATTCCTCAAATCCCTACCAGCTTCAGCACCAGCCTTGTCCACTTCTGCCAGTGCATCCATCAACTCTGCTTCACATGTGGACTTAGCACACTTCCAAAACAATCTCCGGAACACCATCCCCCTATGTGATTTACTCCAATTCGCATGTATGTGCCTAGCACAGTTCCTATGCTCAGCCTCAGGGAAGATATTAGCAATGACATTACATAGACCCTACATTAATTACATTAATGGTAATTAATTATCCAGAAAGTTGTTGTTATGTATGCTGTAGTCCATATATATGGTTTTCAGTTATATACTTGTTCTAATGTATGTTGTATGTTGTATGTTGTTGTCATGTTATACAGTTATATGGTCTGAATTTTTTTTTTTACTCTATATGGTCTGAAGTTATGGTGTATGGTCTGAAGTCATAAGGTATAAATGGTGTATGGAAATTACTTATCTACCTATAAAGTTATAAAGTAGTGGTTTAGTTATAGTCAAATATCTGTACATATGCTAGTATAACTTCAGACCAATGTATACTACTGTCTGGTAGTATACATATTTAGGTGGTACCTTATCTCCTAGTATTCATATGCATAAATATGTATACTATCTACAGTTTTTAAGTAATATTTAATGGAAATTACTTATATATATAGTTATAAAGTAGTGGTTTACAGTCTGAAGTTATAAAGTACTATATATGTATTTACAGTTGTTGTTGATGTAATACAGATTTGGTATACCTTTTGTTGATCACTAATGAGAGTCCATAAGTCTGGCCTAGTAATCTGCAAGTCATTCTTCAATAGGTCTAAGAACCATGTCCATGAGGAGTTGTTCTCAATCTCAACAACAGCCCAAGCTATGGGGAACATCTGATTGTTCGCATCCCTCCCAACTGCAGTTAATATCTCACCCTTGAGTTGTCCTTTCAAAAAGCAACCATCCAACCCTATTACCTTCCTACAACCTTGTAGAAAACCTCGTTTGACTGGGCCAAGACACATGTAAATGCGTTGGAAAACAGATGGAGCTTCTGGGACAACTCTGGTTGTGTGAATCACCACAGTTGAATCTGGAATGGACCTCAAACATTCCTCTGCATAATTCCTTACTTTCTTGAACTGATCTTTAAAATCTGTTTGTGTTTTCTTGTGTATAGACCTCAAAGCCCTTGTGGCCATACTAGCAGATACATTTATTTTCAAGTCACTCTTAATCAGTGCCTTCAACTCTACTCCACCCATGCTTGGATTTTCAATTACCTTCTCTTCATATGACTCTGCAATCCATTTCTCACTAACTATCTTTAGCTTAAACCTCAAATTGCATAAATGTTCACCTTCAAGAACCTTAACTTGGAAGCACTTCAGCCTAGGTTCCCAACTAGCAGTAATATTATAAGGGCATGGAGGAGCACATTTTATCCTAACTCTTGTTTGTGTGTTTTTCACAAAGCGGATATCTCTTTTCTCAAAGACAGCATACCTGACCATAGCGTTCTTGAATTGCCTTGCATCTTCAAAAAGCATTTCCACCGCAATGAGGGGAGGTTCTGACTCAGGATTATAGGAAACAAGCCCCTTGTGTGCAGGTTTAGGCTGATTATCATCTATTTCTTGGTCAGATGTGTAGCTTCTTGGGTTAGAAGAATCATATTCGACACTGTCTGCATCCTCATCAGTGTCATCATTATCTTTTCCACCTCTAAGCTCTTCCAAATCTGGATTATTTTCTTGGGAAAACAGTCAATTAAGTCCACCTACTATGGGCGGAAAGTCAATTGAGTCCATGTACAATTTTTTCGGTCAATTGGGTTCACATATTTCAAAATAACGGTCAAATACGTTTTTTAGGCAGTCGCCAGCCGGTTAGCCAGTTACCGGGTGACATGGCTTCTAACGTGGCATACTTAACCGGGAAAAATCAATTTTTAAAAAAAAAAAATTTTAAACCTCTGTCCTCGTCATCAGCCATAACCTAACATACGTTTTAACAGATAATGAAAACCAGTCTTCATTATCTTTTCTTCTTTTTTGCAAACGGGGAAGTAGCGCCGCGAGGTGTTCTTGAATCGCAAGTGTAACCCAGAGGTCTTCGTGTTTCTTGAATTCGAACGCGAAATCAGGTTAGTTGCTAGGGTTGTAGTTTACGAGGAGATTACTTCGATTGTATGCTATTATGGCCACAAGTTTTTCCCTATGTGTCAAGCTTCCTCCTTTTTTTATTTGTTGATTTATGACACTGGTTTTGAGTAGTATAATGGTTGTTATGAATGATTGTGTACATGTATATGTTTAGTAATGACCGAAATGGTGCCTTATTTTGCTTTTTGATTTGCATTGTGTTGTAATATTTACAGAATGTTTGACAAAGTGGACCTAATTATTCACCATGGCGGCAACTTCGTTAGTTTGCCTGAAACTATGTACGTAGGGGGAGAAGTGGACTGTATCCCAATTGATCCGGACCTGATTTGTTATCCTCATTTAATGAAAGCCTTACAGTCTGGGAACTATGGTAATATTAAAGGACTGTTTTATAAAAAACCTAGTGATGCTATGGATGACCTGCTTCCCTTGTTCAATGATGCATCCACACTTCAGCTGATACATATGGCTAGTACTTGTGGGCAGTGTGAGATATATGTAGAGCATGGTTTGGATGAGTGTGAACTCATTCTGCCTTTACCTGGACCAAATAATGAAGGGCTTATTGAAGAAGTTGAAGTACAACAAGCAGGTTTGACACCAGAAGAAGAATTACAGACCAATGTTGAACAAACTGAGGTACAAATGCATACTGATAAGGCTTATGAACTGCATCCTGGGGCTGAAGATTGCACATCAGAGGAAGAAAGGCAGGCCACTATGGAAGAAATATATGAAGATGGGTTGTCATCTGAGGAAGATATAGAAGTGGAGGAGAGGCACAATGATGTGCAAGCTGGGTCACACTCAAGGGATAAGGGCATTGACGGAGATGAACCAGAAGAAGATGAACCAGAAATTGAAGAGGCTGAAGCAGACAATGAAGAAAATGAACCACAAATTGAAGAAAATAATCCAGATTTGGAAGAGCTTAGAGGTGGAAAAGATAATGATGACACTGATGAGGATGCAGACAGTGTCGAATATGATTCTTCTAACCCAAGAAGCTACACATCTGACCAAGAAATAGATGATAATCAGCCTAAACCTGCACACAAGGGGCTTGTTTCCTATAATCCTGAGTCAGAACCTCCCCTCATTGCGGTGGAAATGCTTTTTGAAGATGCAAGGCAATTCAAGAACGCTATGGTCAGGTATGCTGTCTTTGAGAAAAGAGATATCCGCTTTGTGAAAAACACACAAACAAGAGTTAGGATAAAATGTGCTCCTCCATGCCCTTATAATATTACTGCTAGTTGGGAACCTAGGCTGAAGTGCTTCCAAGTTAAGGTTCTTGAAGGTGAACATTTATGCAATTTGAGGTTCAAGCTAAAGATAGTTAGTGAGAAATGGATTGCAGAGTCATATGAAGAGAAGGTAATTGAAAATCCAAGCATGGGTGGAGTAGAGTTGAAGGCACTGATTAAGAGTGACTTGAAAATAAATGTATCTGCTAGTATGGCCACAAGGGCTTTGAGGTCTATACACAAGAAAACACAAACAGATTTTAAAGATCAGTTCAAGAAAGTAAGGAATTATGCAGAGGAATGTTTGAGGTCCATTCCAGATTCAACTGTGGTGATTCACACAACCAGAGTTGTCCCAGAAGCTCCATCTGTTTTCCAACGCATTTACATGTGTCTTGGCCCAGTCAAACGAGGTTTTCTACAAGGTTGTAGGAAGGTAATAGGGTTGGATGGTTGCTTTTTGAAAGGACAACTCAAGGGTGAGATATTAACTGCAGTTGGGAGGGATGCGAACAATCAGATGTTCCCCATAGCTTGGGCTGTTGTTGAGATTGAGAACAACTCCTCATGGACATGGTTCTTAGACCTATTGAAGAATGACTTGCAGATTACTAGGCCAGACTTATGGACTCTCATTAGTGATCAACAAAAGGTATACCAAATCTGTATTACATCAACAACAACTGTAAATACATATATAGTACTTTATAACTTCAGACTGTAAACCACTACTTTATAACTATATATATAAGTAATTTCCATTAAATATTACTTAAAAACTGTAGATAGTATACATATTTATGCATATGAATACTAGGAGATAAGGTACCACCTAAATATGTATACTACCAGACAGTAGTATACATTGGTCTGAAGTTATACTAGCATATGTACAGATATTTGACTATAACTAAACCACTACTTTATAACTTTATAGGTAGATAAGTAATTTCCATACACCATTTATACCTTATGACTTCAGACCATACACCATAACTTCAGACCATATAGAGTAAAAAAAAAAAAATTCAGACCATATAACTGTATAACATGACAACAACATACAACATACAACATACATTAGAACAAGTATATAACTGAAAACCATATATATGGACTACAGCATACATAACAACAACTTTCTGGATAATTAATTACCATTAATGTAATTAATGTAGGGTCTATGTAATGTCATTGCTAATATCTTCCCTGAGGCTGAGCATAGGAACTGTGCTAGGCACATACATGCGAATTGGAGTAAATCACATAGGGGGATGGTGTTCCGGAGATTGTTTTGGAAGTGTGCTAAGTCCACATGTGAAGCAGAGTTGATGGATGCACTGGCAGAAGTGGACAAGGCTGGTGCTGAAGCTGGTAGGGATTTGAGGAATTACCCTTTGAAGTTATGGTGCAAGGCCTATTTCAGAACTGATGTGAAGTGTGATACAGTAGACAACAACTTGTCTGAAGCTTTCAATAGCAGCCTACTGAAATGCAGAAGCAAGCCATTGATTCCCATGCTTGAAGACATCAGAGTTGGAATGATGAAAAGAATAGCAAAAAAAAGGCAATATGTGGAAAGGTGGACTGGTAAGATATGTATTTATTAATAACAACTAAATAAGATATGTATGTATTCTTTCCTGGATATGCCTTGTACAGGTTTTTGACCTTCTCACATTTTACTGTTTTAGGGAAATTTGGACCAATTATTATAAAGAAGCTAAATAAGAATGTTTTAGCAAGCCAAGGTTGGCATGTGGACTTCAATGGTGATGATGGTTACGAGATTAAGAAAGGAAGACATCAGTTCAAGGTCAGTCTGCAGAAAAGAACCTGCTCTTGCAGAAAATGGGATCTCAGTGGTATCCCTTGTGCCCACTCCATCTGTGCAATATTGGATAAGGGAGACCAACCGGAAGACTATGTAGACAGTTGCTACTCCAAGGAGCTATATCAAAAGACCTACTCTTATACCTTGCCACCAATAAATGGAGAGCTGTTGTGGCCTAGAATAGAACATGAAGAAATAATGCCTCCATTACCAAGAAAGATGACTGGAAGGCCTAAAAAGAAGAGGGTAAGGGAGGAAAGTGAACAACCAACATCGGCTACAAGAATGAGTAGAAAGGGCAGGATTATGACCTGCTCTATTTGTAAGAAACCGGGTCACAATAAATCTTCATGTAATGATAATAACAGACCAACTGAAGAAAGAGGGAGAGGGAGAAGAGGAAGGAGGGGAAGAGGGGGAAGAAGCACTGATGCAGGTGGGCCAACTGCTGTGATTGATGATTCTGGTGATGTTGCAAATGGAAGAGGTGGAAGGGGAAGAGGGGGGGAGAGGTAAAGGAAGAGGGGGGAGGGGTACTGGTACAGGAAGAGGAACATCACAAGCCTCTGGAACACAATCAGCTGGTTTGAATGATGAATCTAGAGTTGTTGGCAATGGAAGAGGTGGAAAGGGAAGAGGGGGGAGGGGTAAAGGAAGAGGGGGAGGACAGAGGGAAAGAACACATAGAGGTTTTGGGGTATACTTTGATGCAAGCACGGGTGAAACCTTGGTGGATGTAAGTTCATAATACAGAGTTTGTAAAATTTAGAAAGAAGTTTTAAATTTATAATAGCTGACTTTGTTGTTTACCTATTTGCAGCCTGGACAACCAAGTGAAAGAATTGTTGGTCGATGTCCATGAAGTGGTAGAGAAGAGCTGAGATGTTGAAGTTTTTGTGTGGATGCGTGTGAAGATGATAAGGCTGGTGTATTTTGGCTTGAAGGCTCTCATGATTGATGGATAGATGTAGCCCATGTGCTGTTGTCCTTTTTTCTGCCCTTTAAAGAGGGTTGTTGTGGCTTTTAAATGTGCCTTTTTTGCTTTTTTGTTGTATTTCGGATGTAAGGCAGAATCAAACTTTGGGGGGCCATTTACAGTTGGCTTTATTTCCTTCCATGATGTAATGTATTTGGATGCTTTATTGGGCTTTATATGACTCATATTAAAAGTGCTGTGCTGTATTGTTATTTGTGTTGTAGACAGCTTATTATATACTTAATTTCAGAACACTTATGGCATCTTTGATGGATCAATGTTAGCCTATAATGTCAGCACATTTATGTGCTACTTAATGTTAATTATCAGCAATGTTAACAAAATTTCAGCCTGTTATGAATGGATTCATGTGGTACTTAATGTTACTTGGCAGCAATGTTAATCTAAGTTAAACCTTACTGCACATATCATCTGTCAAAAAAGGCAGCTTCATCCATAATCTATCAACAACCTTAATTGTACAAAGCTATATTAACCTGTATACATGTAAACAACATATATGTGCAGTAAGGTTTTCCAAACCTATTATTCATCCTTCATCCAGTACTCCCACTTTATTATACATGGATTAATCTTAAACTATATGCATCCAAAGAGTACTGATAAACAAAGACATCCAGTACTGATAAACCTTTATATAACCTTCATCATAAAGAAAAAGTACTGATAACAATAACATCCAAGGAGTACTGATAACAATAACATCGAAGGAGTACTGATAAACAGAGGCATCCAGTACATGTCAAGCATTCATAAACAACACACCTACTTAACCATTGATTACACATCGAGTACTAACATGTACTACACAAGCCACCTACCCTTTTCACTACATACTACTCAGCTTACAATACAACATTCCCAGTAAACCAATTACAACAACCAAACCAAATCCAAACAACTTCCTATACATCTTGGAATCCTTCTCTGCAGCTTGAACTACCCTTCGCACACCATTGAGCTGGCCTTGCATAGCAGTTAATTGTTCACCAACTCTAGATACCATGACTTTCAAATCTTCAGTGTTTTCATTCATCCCTGCAACGTTAGGAACCCCCCTCGTGTCCATTGAGTCCGCCCAGGAAAAAAATCCGCACCCATGAACCTGTTCAATGCTAACCTATATTATGATTTGCATCTTTAACACCAAAATAAAGCAATTATAACATGGGATTCCTTATAACATTTACCTTCCATTTTTGACACCCATAGAACTTACTCCCACTCTGTCGCGATACACAAAGGGGAGCTTTCAATCCACAGAAGCAAAACACTGCCGGGTCGTAATCAAGGGTGAAGTTCCGTCCTCTTCTCGCAGTGGAAGTCGATGAGGATGAAGTTGCCATTTCCGTTCGAGCTCACTGATCTCACTGCACAACTGGGAGGAAGAGAAGTTAAGAAATAAATGGCCTAGGGTTCTTTATCAGATAAATCGCAGATGAGGAGAGTCGTGATGACGAGGACAGAGGTTTTGAATTTTTTTTTTTTAAAAATTGATTTTTCCCGGTTAAGTATGCCACGTTAGAAGCCACGTCACCCGGTAACTGGCTAACCGGCTGGCGACTGCCTAAAAAACGTTTTTGACCGTTATTTTGAAATATGTGAACCCAATTGACCGAAAAAATTGTACATGGACTCAATTGACTTTCCGCCCAGAGTAGGTGGACTTAATTGACTGTTTTCTCTATTTTCTTCAATTTGTGGTTCATTTTCTTCATTGTCTGCTTCAGCCTCTTCAATTTCTGGTTCATCTTCTTCTGGTTCATCTCCGTCAATGCCCTTATCCCTTGAGTGTGACCCAGCTTGCACATCATTGTGCCTCTCCTCCACTTCTATATCTTCCTCAGATGACAACCCATCTTCATATATTTCTTCCATAGTGGCCTGCCTTTCTTCCTCTGATGTGCAATCTTCAGCCTCAGGATGCAGTTCATAAGCCTTATCAGTATGCATTTGTACCTCAGTTTGTTCAACATTGGTCTGTAATTCTTCTTCTGGTGTCAAACCTGCTTGTTGTACTTCAACTTCTTCAATAAGCCCTTCATTATTTGGTCCAGGTAAAGGCAGAATGAGTTCACACTCATCCAAACCATGCTCTACATATATCTCACACTGCCCACAAGTACTAGCCATATGTATCAGCTGAAGTGTGGATGCATCATTGAACAAGGGAAGCAGGTCATCCATAGCATCACTAGGTTTTTTATAAAACAGTCCTTTAATATTACCATAGTTCCCAGACTGTAAGGCTTTCATTAAATGAGGATAACAAATCAGGTCCGGATCAATTGGGATACAGTCCACTTCTCCCCCTACGTACATAGTTTCAGGCAAACTAACGAAGTTGCCGCCATGGTGAATAATTAGGTCCACTTTGTCAAACATTCTGTAAATATTACAACACAATGCAAATCAAAAAGCAAAATAAGGCACCATTTCGGTCATTACTAAACATATACATGTACACAATCATTCATAACAACCATTATACTACTCAAAACCAGTGTCATAAATCAACAAATAAAAAAAGGAGGAAGCTTGACACATAGGGAAAAACTTGTGGCCATAATAGCATACAATCGAAGTAATCTCCTCGTAAACTACAACCCTAGCAACTAACCTGATTTCGCGTTCGAATTCAAGAAACACGAAGACCTCTGGGTTACACTTGCGATTCAAGAACACCTCGCGGCGCTACTTCCCCGTTTGCAAAAAAGAAGAAAAGATAATGAAGACTGGTTTTCATTATCTGTTAAAACGTATGTTAGGTTATGGCTGATGACGAGGACAGAGGTTTAAAATTTTTTTTTTTTAAAAATTGATTTTTCCCGGTTAAGTATGCCACGTTAGAAGCCATGTCACCCGGTAACTGGCTAACCGGCTGGCGACTGCCTAAAAAACGTATTTGACCGTTATTTTGAAATATGTGAACCCAATTGACCGAAAAAATTGTACATGGACTCAATTGACTTTCCGCCCATAGTAGGTGGACTTAATTGACTGTTTTCCCAATCTATAATTTATACACACAGACAACTATCGTGAATTTACGAGCATTGATTTGCAAAACAAATATATTGATCGAATTGCGGGCCTACTTGATACAAATTAAAAGCTAATATATGGATACTTATTTATCTGAGTATAATTAGCATGTATGGAGAAGTTGTTTGTATTTACGGAATTCATGTAAGGTACTCCGTATTAGTTATTTGGGTTTATATATATAGGGTAAAGTTTCGCTAAAAACACTTTCATATACAACAATAACAACATTCAAGCCTTAGTCCCAAAAGATATTGGGATCAGCTAAATGAATCGATACATCATATCACCACCAAAAGCAAAAGATAATAATACCTAAAACGAGATGAATATACCTAAAAATGATAAAATAAAAAGGATAAAAATAATGTTTATATATATATAAGGATAAAAGAATAAAAAAAACAAGAAGAAAAAAGATGAGGGGGAAAAATAATACGAGATCACTCCTCCACACGAATACCCGCCCTCCACCTTGCTCTCTCCAAAGTCATACCCTCATTCAACCCAAGAAGAAGCATATCACTTCGGACTCCCTTATCCCACGTCTATTTGGGTCTTCCTCTCCCTCTCTTCCCTGCCTCTTCTCCACACATCTCAACACGTCTGACAGGTGCATCACTCGGTCTTCTACGCACATGACGAAACCACCATAGACGAGACTCCCGCATCTTGTCTTCAATAGGTGTTACTCCCGCCCTTTGTCTGATTGTCTCATTTCGCACGTGGTCCTTCCTAGTATGCCCACACATCCAACGCAACATGCGCATCTCTGCCACACTCATCTTTTAAATGTGACATTGTTTCACCGCCCAACACTCTACGCCATACAGCAATGCAGGCCTAATTGCTGTCCTATAAAATTTACCCTTCAGTCTAGTGGGCATACCTCTATCACATAAAAATCCTGACGCACTCTTCCACTTCATGCACCCTGTTCTGATTCTATGGGATACATCTCCATCTATCTCACCGTTCTTCTGAATTATGGAGCCCAAGTAACAGAACATATCACTGACCGGTATCTCCTTACCATCTAGATTAATTCCACTATTACCACTGCTTCTACCTCCACCAAACTTGCACTTCATGTACTCTGTCTTGTTCCGACTTAGTCTGAAACTCTTGTTCTCCAATGTCTGTCTTGCTCAGACTTAGTCTGAACATATCACTAAAAACACTTCCATATATAGGTGGAAAATGTGAAACAATGCCAGCGGACAGGTACCTATAGCTAGTGGACAATATTGGTTGAGGACTTGAGGTGCATAACAATAACTTAGACAACAAAACATGGAAACAAATTGTTAACTTAATTAGCCGGTTTTCATAATATTACCATCTTCATCTTCAACAATAATAGGTACTAGATCCACATTTCCACATTAACATTAGTTTGTAGATTTCATTATTTATTTATTTCATAGGAGAGAGGGATTTATTTAATATGAGTGTATGATTGAGTTCTAAGAAAAAGACATCTTAACATGAGAAATGAGAAGTTTCACATTTACTTCTTTTATGCACTTCATTGTTAATTTGTTGCTTTTTTGTGATAGCAAACAATTTTCAAATAATTGTGGAATTGCCATGGCATCTTGAATCACTTTTTAGTACTTTTGGCACGTACTTGTGCAGCCATTAGATCTCAAACTCAACGCACCAAATGTATTCTCATTTCTTATAATACTAGTTTAGCAACGCGCGATGTGCGTTCGTGTAAATGCCCAAGACCATTGTAGGCATATTAATTGATGGTCATGGTTAGGTTGATCGAGTGAATATGTGAGTATTATGAGTAAACTACTTGTATACATTGCTCGTTAGAAAATGATAAAGAAACTTAATGAATAAAATATTTGTAGCCCCGATTGTATGTGGGGAAATAAAGCAACCAATATGATTATAATAACCATAATAATAGGATAAGATTCATTGATGTTCATTTACTATTGAACAAAAAGAAGAGAGAGAACGCAGTACGGCTCATCTGGTCGCCGACTCACTCTCCTTTATGGGAGGTCCCGAGTGTTCAATTCTAAATGAAGTGAGATTGATCTCAGTTTACCTAAGACCCCCCAAACCCCCCCTCCCTCCGATGCCCCATGGGGGTAAAAAGAAAAAAGAAACACGTAGTATCAAAAGTATTTGAGACAAAATTGCCTAATTTTTATTCTTTGAAGTTCAATTCATTAGGTTAAAGCATTCAAATATTTATGTTGTTAATTCGATATTTGATTGAGCCACATGTGGGTATCAACTCGGTGGATTTGAGTATGATTTTATCTGTTATTACAAAATAGCAAAAATGCTTGGGACACTATGTAATTAGGTATATTCCTTACTCCATATTGTGATTTACTTTAAGGACATCCATTATAATTACTTGGGGGACTATGTATTTAGGTAAAAAAAAACATAGAGGCAGTCAGAAGAATATATTCTCCTGAGGCGACAATTTGCATGCACCAGAATTCTCCGAGTTTCTGCATAGTCCCATATGCTCGGCATGTCAAATATGCCAGGTTTTGTTAGATTTGATTCCACCCGTCATCCAACCTCCACGAGCTAAAAAAATGACAATAATGAATCGATGAAAAAATGAAATGACAAAGTGTCTGGTCGTGAGGAGAGGTGTTGAATATATTCCCACACCGAAAAGTTGTGAAGCAATTGAGTGCTATATTAAAATTTGGATTACTCCTCCAATCAGGTTGACCTTTTAGGATGGAACTTTGGGTCTTACCAATTTTTAAACTCATTTGGTAAATACTGCTAAGTGACGCATCTATAACTACACGTACTTACATAATACAGAGTAATTAAACTATATGGATAATGATTGGTGTATGCCATTTTTCATACATAAGTATGTGCAAGTTAACTTCTTGTTTTTAGAAGAATTGTCCGTCTACACATGTAAAACTAAGAGTGTACATAAAAAGTGTACAAAAATGTATGTTTTGAATTTTTCAAAGAAAAAAGAGACAAAGCAAAGTGTGGTGAATTCTTCCAAATTTGGCAGCAAAATAAATGCCAAACTTATTTTGTTTGAGATATTAGCTTAGATCATCTTCATTAATACTATTCAAACAAATGATTTTTCTCATACATCTAATTGTCACATCACAGCTACACGCCTACACATTAGATTTTAAACAATCTCAAAGCATATATAAAATTATTCATCAATAATGATATTCTTTTTTTATTTAATAATCATATAAATAGTTTTTCTTGTGCATGCATTAAATAGATTTTAACTATAACCTAATATGGTTCGGGACAGGGCCGACCCTGAGGGAGTGTAAGGTGTTCCCTCGCAAGGGTTCACTAAAATAAAAGGTCCACAAATATTAATAATACTCTATTTATTCTTTATTCGTTCTTGGTGCTCGGATCATGTTCTCTTTAAGCAAGGCCATACCTTGGTTGGCTGGTGTCGACTGTATGGAGTGCGATACTTTATAGAAACAAAGATTATGACCCTTTTAGTTGTGAGGAGATGGATGAAACAGTTGTCAAATGTGTTTGCCAGAATCAGCTGACTCAAAGAGGTGGCTGCAAAACCTAAAGGAGCTGGCTGCCAGAATTTGGAGCTGATTGCCAAAGCCTTTAGGAGTAGGTTGCCAATGGTAGGATTTAGAACATGTCTTAACACATAAGTATGAAGGATTTAAACCTATGAAAATAGATCACTTTGATGAACAGAAAACAAGGAGTTGACTCACAGTGAACTAGAATGTTCATTGGACAATTTTAGAGAGCAAGATGTTTTGCTGTGAAGTTGTGAAGATGAGTGAGAGCTGAAGTGTTTGTTGGGAGCAGAATATAAAAGGTGACACAAGATATATCCTAGTTCAGAGATGGTGTAACCCTTCTACATCCAGTCCCAACCTATTTCAGATGGATTCCCACTAAATAAATATTTCATTACATTTAGTGCTCAATCTACCCTTGGTCCTGGCATATATTGTGAGGTTTTTCACAAGGAATTTCAACACTATTCCAAGCTACTCAGTCCTCCCAAGGTTTTTCACTAATGACATTGACTTGCCAAGAGTTACTCATGTCCTTATCATTTCTCACCTTCTAGATTTGAACACAAAGCCCTCTAGAATGTAACATTAGTCTAGTTTACATGGGTGTAAATCTAAACTACCAACTAATCTAAACTACCACTAAGCTCTATAGGTTTGTATGAATTGTAGCTAATCTAAGATCATTAGATGAGTGGGGTGGTAGCCGAAGTAGTGAAGGAGAATCAGCTGGCTGGATGTGATCATGTAAAACTTGATTCCCTTCTATTCCATTTAGCTCCTCTCGGTTTACCACACTTGATCTTCTCACACTCCTGTATTTATAGACTGGTCATTGAATATCCACTGTTGGTTGAGGAAATCAATCTTGACTGTAGCTTGATCTACTTGCTTTGTTCCATTTGACTAAGGAGAGCATGGTTATTCTTTGTCTTCTTGTGACACGGATCAATATCTTCACTTCAACTTGTTTCCTCATTTCAATGCAGAGACAAAGATGAATTATCTTTATTTCTTTTGTGCGTAGAAACTTAGTATAAAAGTTGAGTGATGTTTCAATGCTTCCTTACCAAAAACAAATACTCGCTTTTACTTAGGGCAGGGTCCGGAAAACTGAAAACCGAAAACTGAATCAAATTAAACCGAATCGCGACCAAATAAAACCGAACCGCTAAAAACCGAAACCGAATTTAAAAAACCGAACCGAGCCATAGTTGTTTGGTTCGGTTTTGGTTGTTACCCTTCAAAACTGAACCGAACCGAAAAATCGAACTAATTAAAATTTGAAATTTTATTTGTTAACTTTTAAGCATTAATCCTAATATCATCAATAATCTTTGATTTTCTTGTGTTAGAGAAATAATTTTTGTGTTATGTTTAGTTTAGTTTACAAATGCATTTACACATTCATTGCTCATAATAATGTAACTATATTGATCAACTATGTCTTTTATGTATGTATGTTGCAATTTGCTGCATGCTTATTGTTTTTATTGGTTATTAGTAGTAATTAAAATTTATTTTTATGTAACTTACATTTTTTATATTGATAAAACAAATAAATATTCATCTCAGCTATATCACATATGATGTATGTATTCATGAACTTTTTTCAAACAAGTCACAAACAATGTAAATTAAGAATATATACACTTATACCTCTCCCGCATACTTATATACGGAGTAATTAAAGTCATATTTATTTACTTTTATTTTTTACTTCATTTATTCTAGTATGCTTGCATTTTTTATGTAATATGTTTGATCCCTCCAACTATTATATATATATATATAGGGGGAAACATCATAGTGAAACTTGATTTAGAAAAAGCATTTGACAGACTATCCTGGAACTACCTTCGATCAATGCTTCTCAAGTTTGGTTTCTCAGCTCACATCATCAAACTCATCATGAACAACCTCCAATCTACTTTCCTCTCCATCCTCATCAATGGCCAACCTGCAGGTTTCTTTAAACCACATAGAGGGGTAAAACAAGGAGATCCATTATCTCCCTACCTCTTCATCCTGGCTAGTGAGGTTTTCTCAAGAGGCCTAAACAACCTTTTTGATAAAAGAAAAATTACGCCCTTCAATGGCGGAAGAGGTGCCCCTAGAATCACTCACCTGAGCTATGCTGACGACCTCTTAATTTTCCTGAGTGGAAGCACAAGCAGCCTCAACTCCCTCTCCATCTTTCTTCAAGACTTCCAACAAGTCTCAGGTCAATCCATCAACTTGGAAAAAAGTTTCTTCATCACTGCAGAAAAAACAACAAATCAAAGATATCAGTTGATTGAAGACTGCCTTCTCATGAAGAGATCTAAACTTCCCTTTAAATATCTTGGAATCAGCATCCACAAAGGAATAAACAGAACAAGGAATTGTTTTGATCTCATATCCCATTTTGACACTACCCTATCACCCTGGAAGCTGAAACACCTTTCCTTTGGGGGCAGACTTGTTTTGGTTAAACATGTCCTCTCCATAATCCCCAACTACACACTAGCATCAACCACACTTCCTAAACTCACTGTCAACATTCTTGAAAATAAAATGGCTTCCTTTCTTTGGGGCTGCATAGACAACAACAAAAATTTCCACTGGGCTGATTGGAAAAAAGTATGTCTCCCCAAAGAAGAGGGTGGTCTGGGCCTTAGATCTTTATCTGCCCTACAGGATGCATACTCTCTTAAACTATGGCATAAATACATGGAAAACACCTCAATCTGGTCCAACTACATGCACAGTAGGTATCCTAGAGGTCTTTCTTGTAACCCGAAGGTCACTGATTCTTGCATCTGGAAGAGATTATGCTCCTCAGATTTCATAGGTTCCCAGTTTATCTCCCATGACAGTGTAGCTAACATCATATGGAACCCCTCCAATGATGGAAGTTTCTCTTTAAAAAGTGCTTACAATGAAATCAGACCATCCTCCTCTTGCCCTCCACTCATCAAAACAATTTGGACATCTAAACTCAACAACAACATTAAGTGTTTCCTTTGGAAGCTACTTAATAACTTCCTACCCCTCCCAGAAAATCTCACTAGAATGCACATCCTACCTTTCCTTACTAGGTGCCCTTTCTGTGAGAAGTCTTCCACCTGCTTAGACCACATCTTCTTCTCGTGCCCAATTATCAAACCCCTATGGACCTACTTCATGGGATTATACCACATTCGGATTCCCAATAATCCTTCTTCTATTAGGACCATCCTTTCCTATTGGTGGAAAAACCCAGAACCCAGAACCCTGGTTGGCTCACTTAAACTCTCCCTACCTGGTATAATCTCATGGCATATATGGAAACATTACTGCAATTTCACTTGGGGTGATTCAGATTTGACACAACCACACACACTTATGCATACAATCAAACACTACACCCTAAACTGGAGCTCTACCCTCAAATTTACCAAACCCCAATTCATACCCAAAGTCCTCTCCCTTGAACACATGATCTCCCCAAATTCCCACAACCCTAAACCAAAATTCAAGAAAATAAATTGGCAAAAACCTGTTAACTCTCTCAAGCTTAATGTTGATACAGGATACAACAACAGGGGAACATCCGATGGCGCCATTCTCAGGAACTTCAGAGGCGCAATGATTAAGGCCTGGTCTTTTCCATCCTCTGGCAGCTCAATACTTGAAGCAGAACTCATGGCAATTGTTAAAGCATTAAAACTCTGCGTTGCGGATTGTGATTCCCACGTACAAGTAGAATCAGATTCTTATGAAGCGGTAAGGCTTATTTTACGTGGAAGGGCAGGAGGAAGATTGCTCCCTCTCATAACCGAAATCCAAAACGTAACTAACGGCAAGCCCTTTTTCTTCGATCATTGCTATAGAGAAGCTAATTGCGTGGCCCACCTCTTGGCCCAAGAAGCAACTCTCCAAGTCATATGCTACAACAATTTAGCTCAACTTCCCGCAACTATTAGGGGCTCAGTAATTCTTGACTCTGAAAATCTTTCGTATTTTCGTCAAATGTAATTTTACATTGAGGTAAGGCCTTATGTCCCCCTCCATCTTTTCTTTTTCATTCTAATAAAAATTAATCTTCTCTCTCAATATATATATATATATATATATATATATATATATATATATAGAGAGAGAGAGAGAGAGAGAGAGAGTCCTGATCCTATCAGGTCGGCCTGACGGAAACCGCCGTCAGGCCGAGACCATCAGAGGCCCTTCCCGGTGGAATTTTTTGATGAAATTTTTTGAGCATGTTCCTCATCAAGTCTAGTTTATCCATACCAAATTTCAGCTAAAAATTCAATCGGGAAGGACGTAAAAAAATCCCTACTAAAACTGCGCAGTTTATATATAAATAATGCACAGTTTATATATAAATAAAACTGCGTTTTCCAAGTCTAGTTTGTCCATACCAAAACGCAGTTATCTTCCAAAAATCATTTGAGTGCCTTCCCGGTTGAATTTTGAGCTGAAATTTGGTATGGACAAACTAGACTTGATGAGGAACATGCTAAAAAAATTTCATCAAAAAATTCCACCGGGAAGGTCTACAAAAGGGCTCGGCCGGACGGCTCTCACGGTCAGGCCGGCCTGACAAGAAGAGTTCTCTCTCTCTCTCTCTCTCTCTCTCTCTCTATATATATATATATATACACATATAAACTGCCCAGTTAACTTCAATAAATTATTTGAGTGCCTTCCTGATTGAATTTTTAGCTGCAATTTGGTACGGATAAACTAGACTTCATGAAGAACATGCTCAAAAAATTTCATCAAAAAATTCCACCGGGAAGTACCCGAAATGCCCTCGGCCGGACGGAGCATCCCGTCAGGCCGGCCTGACATGAAGATTTGTCTATATATATATATATATATATATATATATCAATTTTAAATCAAATGGCAATTTTTTAGTAAAAAACCGAAACAAACCGAACCAATCAAACCGTTGTTCCGAATTTTGGAGTGTAAAACCAAACCGAACTTTTACTTTGGTTCCGTATTTGGTTTTAGGTCAAAACTGAACCAAAAGAACCGAACTCACCCCTACTTTTAGTAAAATAAATTCATAAGGAATTTATAATGTGATAAAAATCTCTTATAAATTTCCATTCTATCAATTTGTCATTTTGATTGCAAGTTGGTGTTTTGTTTAATTGTTTTTGTGCTGAGAGAAGAGTGAGTTTGATTTCGGATGCCTTAACTGGAAAACAAGATTTTCAGTTGGCTGCCAAGATTTCAGCTGACTGCCAAAATCTTGTGTTTCAGTTAGGTTCCTTTTCAATGAATACCAGTTAACTCTTCTTCGTACCTTTTTTTTTTATGGTACGTTTCTTCTCTTTTAGTACTCTTTACTTTTTATGAGTACTTAATCACTAAATGATAGCACATTATAATTAACAGAATGGAACAAGTACAAGAGAATCTAGTCTAATACAGGGATAAATAGAAAGGGGTGACATCATCAAAACAATACATATTAATTATCAAAATCTAGGGGACCTAACAATTTCCCCTTTTTGATGATGCCAAAAACTAGGATCAAAACACTTGTAAATAAGCAAAAAAGATATTTAAAAGCCCTAAGTGTTTGATTCTATTTTCCCCCTTTTTGGCAGCAACAGACATCTACTCTTGGTGCTTTTTTCTTGAAGATTCTCCTGGGAGGATGATGGCTACCTTTCTTTTCATTCTTCTCTCTTTTGCCACCACGATATTGTGAACTTTGTCGTGGAAGGCTTTGTTGATGGTTTCAATTGAGAGTGAGTTATCAATGCCGATTGTTTTTAGCCATCCAAGAGCAAACTCTTCTTCTTCCGTCATTCCGGGTTGCATTGATGAAAATATTTTCAAGAGGGGATATTCTCCATGCCCTCCATTCAAGCACTCTCAGACATTCTTTAAGAAGAACCTCTTTTTCTGCTTCATAAAGGATTCGTGACTCAACGTCAACGAAGATTTCAATATGAGTAGAAGTAGAGGCTATCTGGTGTAGTGTTGGATTTGGAGGTGAAAGGGTGAGTTCAAGAGATAATTAGTGGGGTGAGGATTTCTTCATTTTTTAGTGGAGTGATGAATAGGGATGGTTTTTCGAAGAAGATGCAAGGGTGATTTGTGGCTTAAGTGAAGAGTTCGATCAAGGCTGGAAGGATCTTTATTTTGTTTCAGCATGCAACTTTTCATCTCTCAATTACTTTTTGGGTAGTAACCAAAGAGTTATTTGTCATTAATGTTCTTGCGGTTGTTTTTCTTTTCAAGACTAAAAACATCTATTAATAAGAGAGTGAGAAAAAAATATTAGGAAAAATCACTGGTCTTATTAATGAGATTGCTTTTTGATATGTTTAAAAAGATGATTCAGCTGCTTCGACCACCATGTGTCAATATTTCATGTTGCATGTTGTTATAATTCCTCTTGTTGATTTGATCTTCTCTTAAGCTCATCAATGTAACACCTTTATGAATGTCAACATACATTTGATGTAATCAAGATAAACTCTTTCTGCATGGTTGAATTCGAATAAGTACTCCATAGTTTGTTTCATGAAATTTCTGATCAATTTGATCTGTAATGTTTGAGCAATATTTGTGATAAATGATATCAAAGATTCTCCCAAAGATATTTCATAATTCAGATAGCTCAATCCTTGAAACTTTTCATGTTCTTTGAAACATATAAAATGTTCCAAGTAAAATGATACTAAGAGTTGGCTTGTTGGTTTGATTTCGGCAGATAACTGATTTTCTAGTAATGAAAGTTAGCTGAAATTTTCAGCTTGCTGCTTTCTCCTGCTGAAATCGTCCTTCATTCCTTCTTTCTAGAGTTTCTGGTACTTTTTAGCATGAATCCTTGATACAATTAACCTTCCTTTTGAACGGTCTTCTTCTGTTATCCAAAACGTTGACCAATTTCTGTCATAATGATCTGTTTTTATTGAACAAATCTCACTTGATCCTCAAAGTTAGTCAAGTCATCTGATTTCTGAACTTTGTCATTTGAAGTAGATTAGTTGCATCTGAAGTCTAGAAACTGTTGAAAGATTTTGTAGCATTTAGCAAACCATTCTTTGAAGGTCAGAATCTTGATAGTCAGTTTGCTAAAGCTTTCTTTCATCATCATCCTTCAATATAAAGAGTCCTCAATCTTCCTTGATGATTGTATCCACTTGAAGCATTTGAACATTCCCCTCTGTGTTGATGATTAAAGGTCTGTTTGCAACAGCTTCTGCTTCTAAAAAAGTGTTTTTTAATGAAATGGGGAGAAGTGATTAA